GTTATTTCATTCTTTCTTATGGCTGAGTAGTATTCCATTGTGTACATATACCACATCTTTCTTTATCCATTCATCTGTCCATTAGCAACCATTGTTTTTGATGCTCAAAATGTTCCAAATAGGTCAATAGTATCCTGTTGTGTGGCTTTCATGTCTTTTTGCCATGACTCAGTCAGTCTTGAAGCACCTCCTTTCTTCCTTTGTTCATCAAGATGTTTCTAAAGGATCCCTGGTTCCTTTTAGTGGGGAAAGAGTTTTAGAGACCAAATTCTGGATGCTAGGGTTATTCAGTGATGCTGGGTGGCTCTTAGTTCTAAACCTCTTCAGTGGTTTTATATATATTTTTGAAAAGAAAAAAGATGAGTTCATACATTATTTCCATTTAAGATATACTGTTGCAGGATTTAAAAACTTAATTTCTTTGATTATGCACTTTTATTTTTTGTTACATTGAAAACACCTTGGTTCCTTTGGACATTAACATTATTTAGGTTATTCTATAGTGTACATAAGAATTAAAAAAAACCAATAATGCTACAGAATGACATTTAAGATTTTTTTGTAGTTCTATTTGCTCTTAAAAGGTATACCACCATTCTACAAGCATAATACTATACTCTAAAAGCAACTTACTTTTTTCTGTGTTCTTCTGCCATCAAAAGGATATTGAGTTAGGTTCATGTGTTTCTATTCATTTGTAAATTTTAGAGTTTTCTTTTTGTTTGATTTATTAATATTATTACTACAATGAACTAATAGTGCTATTAATAACCATTAATAATATTAATGTTATTCCAGAGTCCAAACTACATAAGGTACATCCAGAGAAATATGTTTTCTATTTCTCTCTCTTCTACATTGTTCTCTTCCATATAAATACTATTTAGTTTTTTTTAATCCATCTTTTGTGCCTTTTCTAAATATATATATACAAATATCTTCGTATTTCCCTCCACATCCTTTCCTTTCTTATGATTCATTCACCTTTAAGATTAATATCCATTGGAGAATGTCGGAATGCCCTAGTTTATGAATGACTTAAAAACAGCAGTAATTATTGCTAGTAGTTCTGACTACTGAAGTCTCTGGCTGGAGAGAAAAACCGTGCTTTTAAGTGGAACAGTTTTATTTTTAATTCCACTCTTCCAAAAGAAACAGCCATTATAATAATATTATATATTTAATTAACATACAACATATAAATAATATTAATACTACTAATAATGATAATAATACTTTTAACGAGCTTCCCATGCCCCTCTAAGATGCCAGGAAAGAGTTTAACACGATTTGGGATGAAGCTGGTACTTCACCATCCACCAGCCACTCGCTGATGTTCTGCACCTGAGATTTGCTCCCTTTGGTGCTCCCTTCAGCGTCTCAGCTCTTGGGAGAAGCACGGAGATCTCTGTCACTGCTCCTGCTCTCGGGACGCCGTTGCTCATCCGCCCGCCCGCGGGCTGGGGGTGCTCCGCGGCTCCCGCCCGCAGGTGCCGGGAGCCTGCCAGGCGCTGGGGAGCCAAGGCCGCCCCGCCTGCGCGTGGTGATGCCGGGATTGGGGGCGGGAGCGCCGCCTCCGTCTCCCAGCACTCGATCGCTCCCGCCCTCCTCCCCGCCCCAAGCCCTCTCTAAGCCTCAGCCTGGCTGGCTCCGCACTGCAGATACCTGCCGGCCGCCCCACTCTCGGCGGCTTCCACGGTGCTCCGCGAGTCCGTCGATCCCGGAGCATTCTCGCTGCTTCCCAGGGACTCTCGACTAAGCGATCTCACCAAGCCCCCGGCGCGCGCCAAGCCGCTACGCCAGCGGAGCGGCGGGAACCCAGGCAGAGCGCGGGATCCCAGGGCGCTCTCGGATGCGGCAGGACAAGCTGCCCGGCTCCCTGAGACGTGGAGGGAGATGCCTGAAGCGGCAGGGTGGTGGTGGCGGCGGCGGCGGCGGTGGCGTGGGCACCATCCTGAGCAATGTGCTCAAGAAGCGCAGCTGCATTTCTCGGACCGCGCCCCGGCTGCTCTGCACCCTGGAGCCGGGTGAGGACCCGGGGCGGCAGAAGGGAGCCCTGGAGAGTCGCGTGGCGCCCCCGGCGCTGGTGCCTCTGTCGTAGCTGGGACTCCGCTGGGCCCGGGAGCACCCGCCGCTGGGCGCAGGCGGGGCCGGGTCGGCCTGGGAGGGAAAAGCAAGGACCCAGGCCTGGCCCAGGCAGCGGCCTCCCTAGGCGCGGAGGAGGCTGCTCCCGCCGGCTGCCCGCGCGCCCCCGCCCCGCGGCCTGTGAGTGGTCCAGCCCTGGCTTGTGCCCGAGCTGCCGGCTGGTGCGCCCGGCTGCCTGGGCTGTCAGAGGCCGTGCAACCAATTGTGCTTCGGACTCACAAGAAGCCACACCTTAAAGGAGGTGTGGAAGGCGGAGAAAGGCACAGGTTTGATACTTGGGGTCGGAGGGAAAGGTAGTGACCGCGAAGGAAAAAAAATCGAGTGCATTTTCTTGAGCGTCCCTGCTTCGTGAGTGCCGGGATCGCATCACCAGGAGCCTCCGGGTGGAAAGCAGGCAGGAAATACTCCTGCAAAGTAGAGATCCTTTCTGGAGGTAAAGACCGAGTGAGCTGCCTGTGTTAGGCTAGGCCCTTTCTGCTGTCAGCCTGTGTTTACACATCCCTGCATCTCCAGGCTGCAGAACTCCGCGCCTGCTCCATCACCCGGCATTCCTCCCCAGGGGTTTTATGAGCCCAGCCCTAGCGTGCTCAGGCCCCTGAGCATAAGGCTTCGTGGTTAGGAGTGGCCGCAGAGGGAGCCGGCTGTGCCCAGACCCGTTCTTAGCACCCACTTGTCCCCAGGGTGGCACCAGCTGGCTTCCAGGGGGGTTGTCCTCTCCTGAGCCCCTTCCTCCCTCCACTCCGTCTCCTTGCTCCCTGGGGGACCTGCTATCCCGAGGCTGCAGAGAGAATCAAGGCCCTAAGCCCCAAAGGGTGGAACGCGTCACTGCCTTTCCGAACCTCGTGGTTTCTTTGTTTTTCTCCCCAAGGAAGTGTCTAGTTACAGAGACTATAGTAGTTATTCACAGTCTTTCTTTAGCCTTAAAAAAAAACACAAAATCTCCTTCCCACGTTAGAAGTGTTTTGTGTTCCTGAATCCGGAATATCCAGTGATTAACAGATGAAACACAAACCTTCTCCCCTTCCTTATTCAGTTAGAAGAAAAGAGGTAGAAATGACCTGATTTCAGCTTTTGCATGCAGGCGGCGAATGATCAATTTCAGTGAAATCCTGTGACTCATTTTTGATCGTGAGAAAATAGTTGTGGTTTTGACTAACCCCAGCCGGGTGTCAGCTCAGCAAGGCGATTGGCACGATGCCCAGCAGGTACTTCTGATAAAGTCAAGGGAGCATATTCCGTCGTACATGCAGGGAATCCAAGGATTTTAGATCGGTTGAGATAAGAGCATGAGACCGAATTTCCTGGTCTTTGTTATGTTATAAAGCAAACGTCATTACTAAACGCGCTTCCATTCAGCACCCTGCATCTGGACAGCAACCTCACCAAGGTTTTATCTTGTCTTAAAATCGTGGCTCCAGCTGGAGGCACTCTTATCGCCCGTTGTATCATTGCACACTGAGGCAAGACTTCATTTAAATAATCTCAGAGTAATGAGAATCCATCAAGATACATAATATACCTTCAAAGAAGAAAGTCTTATCTATCTAAACCGTGTATGCTTTTGGCTGGGAAGCTCTGAAAAGAATTATCAGGACACTGATTATAAAGCTTGACTTTAGAAATCTAGGACCAGACTCTTGAATACACAGTACTCTTCTAGGACTCCAAGAAGGGCATCTTCATACTGTCATGGGCTTGGGTAAATCAGACACATCTCTTCAGCTTCTTGACTCCATATATGCTTTTAAAAAGACATGTCTACTTTATCATTATAATTTTACAAATTCTGAAGTATCTTCCTATCTACATACCAGATTCTAAGGAAAGATTGTTCCCTAAGTAGTGGAAGTTGTGGAGAGGTTTCAGTATGCTTAATCTGCCGTTCAACATTTTAAAAGCAAAAATTCATCATAAATGAACATTGTAAAACAATGCTACTGACAATTTTTGGTGTATCTTGGTCCTTGAATTATTAAGTTTAAAGTGGGCTTAAAATGTCATTTTGAAATTATAAAAAAAGAATACCTAGCATTTTCAGATTTGGTTACATTATTTTTGATATAATTTACGTGGGAATAAAAATTGTCATGTAACTTCATCTCAATAATAAAAAAGTCCAATATGAATATAGCATATAGTCTTTATACATTTTCCTCTTTATTTGCTTCTATTCTGTAGATTTGAGTCAAAGAAGTTTATCTAAGGTTGTAGATAACTTGCAGTTGGGGTTCAGTTCTATTTTTAGCTTGTAATCTAAATATACAAACATGTCTTTAATGAATAAGTCTATCATGACAGAATTTTAAAATATGGATTATTCCACAAGTGGAAAGGCAATGACATTATTTTTTATACCTTTTGATATTTCACTGAATTTTCCTTAATAGAATTAGCCAATGCAACTGTCCTAAAAAACAAATTCTGTAAGTAAAGAATTCTCTTCCCATGTTTCATAAATCTTAATTATACTGTACTAAGTGATTTACAGTTAATCATTGCAACAACTAACTGTGATAGGCTTTATCCTCATTTTAAGGATGGAGAATTGAAACTCAGCTTAAATACTTTGTTTGACTGTAGGAACCAAAGCTGAGTGGAAGTCTATGTGACTGCAAGCCCGTGTGTCACTTTTTGTTTTTGCACCACTCTATGGATAAGTTCCATTTTATTACCACAGGATGTTTTTCTGTTTTAATAATTAATATTCTTTTCCTTTCAACAAAATTGACAATTAACAAGATGAGTGTTTTAAAAATTTTATGATGACCCAGTAGTATAAGGTTAATTTTTACTTTTATTTTTGATATAGTGTATTTTCTCCCTAGATAACTGTTATTTATGTCTTTTTATTTTAGGAGTTGACACAAAGTTGAAGTTCACTCTTGAGCCATCTTTAGGTCAAAATGGTTTTCAGCAGGTAATTTTATTTTTAGTTTCAAAAATACCTTTATTTGGGGACAACGACAAGGTACACTGAGATATATTCTCAAAGTGGGAAGATTAGCATGTGCTTGGATATGCATAAGATGAGTCAGTTTTTAAACTTATGGATGAAATAGCTTGCGAAGCGATAAGTGGCCTGGATTTATACTTGCAGTGAAAAATTTTGTACTTTCTTTTAATGGTTCAAGTGTGGGAAAAAAATTTAAAAACCAACTGCTGTTGTTCTGAATCTATAACACACGTTTTGATTTCTCAGCCAGAGCTTCCCAACCCTTGTGTGCATGGGTTGCAAGTGGATAACAGGTGTGTTAAGGGGGCCTAAGTTGAGGAGCTTGGGGCAGTCATGGCCCTTAGACCAGACATAGCTGGCTGAAGGAAGCTCGGAGTGTTTATCCCAGTGTTCTGTATAAATATTATCATATTCTACAAATGTCAAGATGGAGAAATGGTTGAAGAGTGCTTAACCAGGTCAATATTATCACTTTGATAGTGTTTCTTCTTTATTTCTAGTGGTATGATGCTCTAAAGGCAGTTGCCAGACTATCGACAGGAATACCAAAGGAATGGAGGAGAAAGGTGAGGAGGATTTGTATGGCTAAAATGCAAAGGGACCATGACTCTGTCTCTCTTTAAAGTGTCTGGAATGTCAAAAAGAATATTCTAGATTTAGTAATTTGAAATCTGTCCCTCTTCATTATTCATTAATCCAATAATTATTTATGGATTATTCTGTGCCAGGTACTTTCTGTAAGTACTGGGGATACAGCAGTGGGAAAAAACCCCAACAGGCCAAAATTTTCACCCTTGTAGAGTTTATTATGAATATAATATAAAGTATTTCAGATGATGCTAAGTGCCGTACATAAAAATAAAGCAAAGAAAGAAGTAAGGAGAGTGTAGGGAAATGGAGATAAGGAGGCAGCATTTTAAATGGCAAGGTAACATTTAAATAGGGCACTTAAAGAAGTGAGCAGGTGGCCGTGTAGCTGCCTTGTGGAAAGTACTCCAGACAGAAAACACGCTCAGGTGGGAGCATCTCAGGAGTATCCAAGCAGAAGTAAGAGGCCACGGTGGCTGAAGCCCAGTGGACAAAGGGGAAAGCAGTGTGTGTGGGGGGGGGGGTCACAGTGGTAATGTGGTGACCTTAGGGGAATGGCAGATCCTGTGGGAACTTACAGGCCGTAGGAGGACTTTTGCCCAGTGTGAGATGAGAAAGCATTGGAAAGTTTTGAGCAGGGGGATAACATGGTAGACTTATATTTTAAATGGACCATTCTGACTGCTAGCTTGAGAATGCGCGGGACAAGGGCGACAGCAGAGAGAAAGAGCAGTGGGAAACTTGCAATAATTCAGGCAAGAGATGGATCAGGGTTTTGGTAGTGGAGATGGAGAGAAGGGATAAGATTCTAGATATATTTTGAAGGCTGAGTTGACTTGAATTCCTGCCAGCTTGAATATAAAGTATAAGAGCAATGTCATCAAAAACTTCAGGATTGACTTGAGCTTCTGAAAGGGTAGAGTTACTATTTTCCCAGAGGGGACAAGCATGTGTATGTGTGTATCTATATAGTTGGGGGTGATGGTTGGTTAGATGCTTGGTTTTGGATATGTCAAGGTTATGATGCCTGTTAGATATCTGAATTGAAGATATCAAGTGTATATTTGCACATACAATTGTGATGCTTAGGAGAGAGGTCTGGCTAGAGATATTAATCAGTGTTAGTCCTGCTAAGTTATGTTCAAAAGTCAACACTGGACTATTGATAGTTGTCGACCTGTTGATAGTCAAAATGTCAGCTATTTATTTGTAAACCTAGTTTCTCCCCCCTTTAAAAATTTTTTATTGAAGTGTAGTTGATTTATAATGTTGTATTAATTTCCACTGTACAGCAGGGTGATGTGACTCAGTTATATACTTCTTTTCCATATTCTTTTCCACTATGGTTTATCAGGGAATATTGAGTTGCCCTTGTCTAGAATAATGAATACAGTTCACTGTGCTACACAGTAGGACCTTGTGTGTCCATTCCACATATAATAGTTTGCATCTGCTAATCCCAAGCTTCTTATGCATCCTTGCCCCTCCCCCGTTTGGCAACCACAATTCCCCTTTCTTTTTTAAAACTTAATTTTTATTATATATTGGAGTATAGTTGATTTACAATGCTGTATTAGCTTCATGCATAGAGCAAAGGGACTCAGTTGTACATATACGTACATCCATCCCATTGCAGATTCCGTATAGATCTGCCACAGACTATGTGTAGAGTTCCCTGTGCTGTGTAATAGGCCCTTGTTGGTTGTCTGTTTTATATATAGTGCTGTGTACATGTTAACCCCCCACATTTCCCCCTCGGTAACCCTAAGTTTGCTTTCAAAGCCTGTGGACCTCTTTTGTAAATAAGCTTGTTTCTATTATAAGCTAATCTTAATACTCCTAGAATTTGAACATTGAGGGTTCTTCAAAGTGCACATGAAAAGTGGCATTATGAAGCAACTTTTCTGGATAAGGTAATGAAAGGAGTCATGGTATCCAGTGATTCCTTTAAAAAATTATTCTTTATGGGAACCCATCTATCAGTTTTCTTGTGTGTGTTAGAGAGGGGTGGTTCAAATGCAGAGGCGAAACAGGCCCATTCTCCATGGAGCTGCAAAGAGTCAGACATGACTGAGCGCACACACATGTGTGTGTATGTGCAGACACATACACAAACAAAAACACGCTCCACCCCCCTCTCTCTCCACGGGTGACCAAGGAGCTCTTGCCCAAGCGTAGAGAGTAATCCAGAGCCTAGTATAACAAGCTCGCAAGATACTTTGCAATAGGGAATGGCTACCCACTCCAATAAACAATAGAATGGGAAAGACTAGAGATCTCTCTAAGAAAATTAGAGATACCAAGGGAACTTTTCATGCAAAGATGGACACAATAAAGGACAGAAATGGTATGGACCTAACAGAAGCAGAAAATGTTAAGAAGAGATGGCAAGAATACACAGAAGAACTGTACAAGAAAGATCTTCATGGCCCAGATAATCACGATGGTGTGATCACTCACTTAGAGCCAGACATCCTGGAATGTGAAGTCGAGTGGGCCTTAGAAAGCATCACTACGAACAAAGCTAGTGGAGGTGATGGAATTCCAGTTGAGCTATTTCAAATCCTAAAAGATGATGCTGTGAAAGTGCTGCACTCAATATGCCAGCAAATTTGGAAAACTCAGCAGTGGCCACAGGACTGGAAAAGGTCAGTTTTCATTCTAATCCCAAAGAAGGCAATGCCAAAGAATGCTCAAACTACCACACAATTGCACTCATCTCACACGCTAGTAAAGTAATGCTTAAAATTCTCCAATCCAGGCTTCAACAGTACGGAAACTGTGAACTTCCAGATGTTCAAACTGGTTTTAGAAAAGGCAGATGAACCAGAGATCAAATTGCCAACATCTGCTGGATCATCGAAAAAGCAAGAGAATTCCAGAAAAACATCTGCTTTATTAACTATGCCAAAGCCTTTGACTGTGTGGATCACAATAAACTGAGGAAAATTCTGAAAGAGATGGGAATACCAAACCACCTGACCTGTCTCTTGAGAAACCTGAATGCAGGTCAGGAAGCAACAGTTCAAACTGGACATGGAACAACAGACTGGTTCCAAATGGGGAAAGGAGTGCATCAAGGTTGTATATTGTCACCCTGCTTATTTAACTTATATGCAGAGTACATCATGAGAAATGTTGGGCTGGAGGAAGCACAAGCTGGAATCAAGTTTGCCGGTTGAAATATCAATAACCTCAGATACGCAGATGACACCACCCTATGGCAGAAAGCGAAGAAGAACTAAAGAGCCTCTTGATGAAAGTGAAAGAGGAGAGTGAAAAAGTTGTCTTAAAACTCAACATTCAGAAAACTAAGATCATGGCATCTGGTTCCATCACCTCATGGCAAATAGATGGGGAAACAGTGGAAACAGTGACAGACTTTATTTTTGGGGGCTCCAGAATCACTGCAGATGGTGACTTCAGCCATGAAATTAAAAGACGCTTGCTCCTTGGAAGAAAAGCTATGACCAACCTAGACAGCATATTAAGAAGCAGAGACATTACTTTGCCAACAAAGGTCCATCTAGTCAAAGCTATAGTTTTTCCTGTAGTCATGTATGGATGTGAGAGTTGGGCTATAAAGAAAGCTGACCGCCAAAGAATTGATGCTTTTGAACTATGGTGTTGGAGAAGACTCTTGTGAGTCCCTTGGACTGCAAGGAGATCCAACCAGTCCATCCTAAAGGAAATCCATCCTGAATATTCATTGGAAGAACTGATGCAGAAGCTCCAATACTTGGGTCACCTGATGTGAAGAACTGACTCATTTGAAAAGATCCTGATCCTGGGAAAGATTGAAGGTGGGAGAAGGGGACGACAGAGGATGAGATAGTTGGATGCCATCACCGACTCAACAAATATGAGTTTGAGTGAACTCCAGGATTTGGTGATGGACAGGGTGGCCTTGGGTGCTGCAGTCCATGGGGTCAGTGAGTTACACAAGACTGAGTGACTGAACTGAACCGAAACCACTCCAGTAATCTTGCATGGAAAATCCTATGGACAGAGGAGGCTTGCAGGCTACAGATTATGGGGTTTCAAAAGAGTCAAGCGTTACTGAGAAACTAAACAACAACAGCAAAGATAATCTAGCTATTCTACTAGTACTGAAATGAAATTTGGTATGTTTTTGTTTTCTTAACAATATCTTTAATGGCTGGATTGTTACTTGGTACATAGTAGGAACTCAATAAATATTAATTGAAAGAATAAATAAAAGTCCATAATTGGTACAATTTAGTACAGCAGACTTTTCAATGAGGTTCCTAGTTTTCTACATGTGGGCTATATCTCTACTAGTAACAGTTTTCATTTTCTTGTTGGATGCAATCAGTATTGCCTAATAAAGAAAGATGAAATTATGCATTTTACTTTAGCATTCCTCTTTATTACTATTTTAGGTTTGGTTGACCTTGGCAGATCATTATTTGCACAGTATAGCCATTGACTGGGACAAAACCATGCGTTTCACTTTCAATGAGAGGAGTAATCCTGATGATGACTCGATGGGAATTCAGATAGTTAAGGTAATACCTCTGAGTTTGGCTTATTGTCTTAACTTGGAAGATTTCTAAGAACCAGATGTGTCCTGGACAGAGGATCAAGCCTTATGGTTTGAATGTCTGTGTATTTCCTGCTATTAATTTAATTAGTTAACAGCTTTTTAAAATGGGGAATTTGTCGATGCCTTGTTTGTGTACATCTGCATGTTGCTAGTAAGAAGAAAATGTTTCCATTCATATTCAACTTATTTTGCGTGCATGATAGGAAATGGAATTTCCTTTTTTGTTTAGCATGGGTCACTGCTTTTAACTGGATTTTTACATCAAAGTCACTGAGAAATTTAGTTAAGCCTATTTCATATTAGAATAATTGGGCAGTTATTAGGATTTTGATTTCTTAACTGTCATTTTATGAAGATAGTTAAATTGACTGATGGGTTTACTTTGCACCAGATGGTTGAATGTTCAGGCCAGCTGTGGAGGCAGCCGAGGTTCACCTACCTGGATTATTACAGTTGATTAGAGCCTGGCATGAAAAGCCAAGGATATTGATTTGATTTAACCCCATTATTCTTCTCTTGCATAAGCCTCTAGGGCATGCTTTTTATTTTCTATGAGTACATTACCTGTGATGCTAAGCTGAGGTTTTAAAAGGAAAGTTGTTTCATGCAGAGTTTGGTCACCAGAAGTTGGCTATGTTTTGACAGATTTGAAAATATTTTTTTTCAGGAGCAAGTACTAACTAAAAAGAGCTATATTTTGATCTTACTTGTTGTGTTTCAGACAAGTTTCAAAAAAATGAAATTTTATACTGTAATATGCTTGAAAAGCCCCTGCATTATGCACATTTGAGCTGTTTGTTTGGAATTTCAGTATGTGTTCCCTAGAGATGAAGTATTCCATATTTGAAATACTTTCTTTCTATTTAAGTGGTGAGTTAAGGCAATGCATGTTTTGTAAGAATCATGGTATTAAAAGAATCTTTTTTTCTCATTGAAGTGAATATGTCACTAAAATGAGTATGTCCTGAAAATCATAGTCTCTGCTTGATAATTATAAGTATTGCCTTCATTATATATTAAAGCACAGCAAATGTTTCTGTCCTTTTATACATATTTATAAAACAAATTGGACAGAATGATTTTTCTGTGTCTTTTTTGGTACTGGTTGCATTTTGCTCCTGAATACTATTTGGAGTTTTGATAGCTAAATATTTATATATATACATATATATATCGTTTTTTTTCTGTAGAAAGAAACAATGTTAGCGTCTAACATACATGTGTTGAAATGTTTTATTTGAGATGTATCATTAAAATAAACTGTCAATTTATTTGAAAGCCTAATGTTATATTTGTTAATTCTGAGGGTCTTTATGTGTTAACTCTGGAAATACTTTTGGTAGAAAATTTGCCTGACTGAAATTCCCCTCGAAAATGCCTCAGCATATTAGAAAACTAAAAGATACAAGCTTTGGTCCATGTATATAAGTTGCTTATATATTTTAAAAACTAAAATCCATTTTAATAATCTGACTTAATGCTGAGACAAAGAAAAAATGAAAGTGTTTTTTCTTTTAGAGAGAGCATAAGGAGTTATTTTAAAAAGGATTGTTTTCCCTCTTGTTTTAGGATCTTCACCGCACAGGCTGCAGTTCGTACTGTGGCCAGGAGGCTGAGCGGGACCGGGTCGTATTGAAGCGGGTCCTTCTGGCTTATGCCCGATGGAACAAGAATGTCGGGTATTGCCAAGGCTTTAACATCCTGGCTGCGCTGATTCTGGAAGTAGTGGAAGGCAATGAGGGCGATGCTCTGAAAGTGAGTATCAGACTCTGAAGAAGGCAACTGAGATTCTTCAGAGAGGGAAATGCTGAAACTGTGGTTTCTCCTCCCTGATGCCCCACCTCCTTCCAAAGTATTTACTGTATCTTTCTGATTATCCATGATTTCCCCAGGTTAAAGCCTGGTCACAGGACAAACCTCTGCAGCTGCCAAATTTGAGGAGAATGATTATGTTTTTAGCTCCCTCATGAGACATATAAGGACATATATATGTGTGTGTGTGTGTGTGTGTGTGTTAGTTGGGTGGTTGTGTCCAACTCTCTGCAACCCCATAGACTGTAGCCCACCAGGCTCCTCTGTCCATGGGATTCTCCAGGCACGATTATTGGAGTGGGTTGCCATTTCCGTCTCCAGGACACACACACACACACACGGCTTTTTGAGGATGAGAGTGGGGGAACAGATCTTTCTTTCTCTCCCTCTCTCTGCTGTGTAGCATGTGGGATCTTACTTCCCCAACCAGGCATTGAATCCATGTTCCCTATGTTGGGAGCTTGGAGTCTTACACTGGACCACCGGAGAAATCCCTGAGACATCATATTTTTAAACCGAGTTCAGTACTACTTATATTGATGACCCAGTGCTGCATAGCAAATCCGTTGCTTCAAACAGCAAATGTGTATGACCTCCCAGTTTCTCTGAGTCAGGAATCTGGGCACAGCTTAGCTGGCTCAGAGTCGCATGATCGTGGCATTCAAACTCGCGGCTAGGGCTTTAGTCTCCTCCGAAGGAAGGCTCAGTTGAGTGGGAAGAGCATTGGCTTCCAAGTTCATTCGCGTGATCCTTGGGATTCACTCCCCACAGACTGCTGGACTGAGGGCCTCAGTTTTTTGCTGGATATTGTTCTCTGCTCTTTGCGCTTTTCCATTTTGCTGCATGGTGGCTGGAATTCCTTAGAGTGGGCAAGAGAGTAAAAGAGAACAGGTCAGAGGAGACTGTGTTACAGATCTGCAGCCTAGTATTAGAAGTGACATCCCATCATTTTTGCCATGTTTTATTTTTTAAAATTTATTTCTAATTGGAGAATAATTTCTTTCCAATGATGTGTTGGTTTCTGCCATACATGGGTCAGCACAAGCATACACACGCCCCCTTCTCCTTGCACCTCCTTCCCACCTCCCACCCCATCTGCCCCTCCAGGTTGGCACGGAGCACCAGATGGAGCTGCCTGGTCACACAGAAACTTCTGCCATGTTTTATCTATTAGAAGCCAGTCACTAGGTCCAGCTCCTATTTAAGGGGCAGGGCTTATACAAGAGTGTGACTACCAGCAAGTGTAGATTCTGGGGGGTCTTGCTCTAAATTGCCTTATTTGTTATACTTAATTCTGGTTGGTTCTTCTTTTTTTTTGATGTTGACCATTTTTAAAGTTTTTATTGAATTTGTTACAGTATTGCTTCTGTTTTATGTTTTGTTTTGTTTTGTTTTTTTGGCCCCAAGGCATATGGGATCTTAGCTCCCCCACTAGGCATTGAACCTGCACCTCTTGCATTGGAAGGTGAAGTCTTAACCACTGGACAACCAGGGAAGTCCCTGGTTGGATCTTCTTAACAGGTTGCTTCCATATCTGGGGTGAGGTGTGAAGGAAATAGGCTGCAAGTGAATGTCTCCTGAAAGGTGCTTGTGTGGAGAAAGGTTATGAAATTGAATGATATGGCTAGTCTTTTAATCTTTGATGTCTAGGGCCTTTTTTTAGTAAAAAAAATTTTTCTGGAAACATTTTGAGATGGGACGTTAGTAAGTTAAACTTGTAGGTCTGAATATGATTCAATGAATCACCACAGAAAGTCTTTATGAGAAATGAAGGCTTTCAGGTGTTGAGGATGGCCACTGCCTTATTTGCTTGGGTTGCTAATTTGTATTTTAATCCTGAAACTGTTGTTGATTGCAGTGTTGTGTGATGGATGGGATAAATACTTAGTCTTTATAGTCAAGGTCCCGCTCCTCCCAATTCTGTTTAATTATAGTGCATACCTTAGTGATCAATAATACTGAAGAAGCTGAAGCTGAACAGTTCTGTGAAGACCTACACGACCTTCTAGCACTAACACCCAAAAAAGATGTCCTTTTTATTATAGGGGACTGGAATGCAAAAGTTAGGAAGTCAAGAAACACCTGAGTAACAGGCAATTTGGCCTTGGGGTACAGAATGAAGCAGGGCAAAGGCTAATCGAGTTCTGCCAAGAGAATGCACTGGTCATAGCAAACACCCTCTTCCAACAGCACAGGAGAAGACTCTACACATGGACATCACCAGATGGCCAACACTGAAATCAGATTGATTATATTCTTTGCAGCCAAGGATGGAGAAGCTCTATACAGTCAGTAAAAACAAGACTGGGAGCTGACTGTGGCTCAGATCATGAACTCCTTATTGCCAAATTCAGACTTAAACTGAAGAAAGTGGAGGAAACCACTAGACCATTCAGGTATGACCTAAATCAAATCCCTTATGATTATATAGTGGAAGTGACAAATAGATTCAAAGGATTAGATCTGATAGACAGAGTACCTGAAGAACTATGGATGGAGGTTCATGACATTGTACAGGAGGCAGGAATCAAGACCATCCCCAAGAAAAAGAAATGTAAAAAAGCAAAATGCTGTCTGAGGAGGCCTTACAAATAGCTGTGAAAAGAAGGGAAGCAAAAAGCAAAGGAGAAAAGGAAAGATATACCCATTTGAATACAGAGTTCCAGAGAATAGCAAGGAGAGATAAGAAAGCCTTCCTCAATGATCAATGCAAAGAAATAGAGGAAAACAATAGAATGGGAAAGACTAGAGATCTCTTCAAGAAAATTAGAAATACCAAGGGAACATTTCATGCAAAGATGGGCTCAATAAAGGACAGAAATGGTAGGGACCTAACAGAAGCAGAAGATACTAAGAAGAGGTGGCAAGAATACACAGAAGAACTGTACAAAAAAGATCTTCATGACCCAGATAATCACGATGGTGTGGTCCCTCACCTAGAGCCAGACACTCTGAAATGTGAAGTCAAGTGGGCCTTAGAAAGCATCACTATGAACAAAGCTAGTGGAGGTGATGGAATTCCAGTTGAGCTATTTCAAATTTTGAAAGATGATGCTGTGAAAGTGCTGCACTCAATATGCCAGCAAATTTGGAAAACTCAGCAGTGGCCACAGGACTGGAAAAGGTCAGTTTTCATTCCAATCCCTAAGAAAGGCAATGCCAAAGAATGTTCAAACTACCACACAATTGCACTCATCTCACACGCTAGTAAAGTAATGCTCAAAATTCTCCAAGCCAGATTTCAGCAATACATGAACTGTGAACTTCCATATGTTCAAGCTGGTTTTAGAAAAGGCAGAGGAACCAGAGATTAAATTGCCAACATCTGATGGATCATCGAAAAAGCAAGAGAGTTCCAGAAAAACATCTATTTCTGTTTTATTAACTATGCCAAAGCCTTTGACTGTGTGGATCACAATAAACTGTGGAAAATTCTGAAAGAGATGGGAATACCAGACCACCTGACCTGTCTCTTGAGAAATCTGTATGCAGGTCAGGAAGCAACAGTTAGAACTGGACATGGAACAACAGACTGGTTCCAAATAGGAAAAGGAGTACGTCAAGGCTGTATATTTCCGTATATTGTCACCCTGTTTGTTTAACTTATATACACAGTACATCATGAGAAACGCTGGGCTGGAAGAAGCACAAGCTGGAATGAAGATTGCCGGGAGAAATATCAATAACCTCAGATATGCAGATGACACCACCCTATGGCAGAAAGTGAAGAAGAACTAAAGAGCCTCTTGATGAAAGTGAAAGAGGAGAGTGAAAAAGTTGGCTTAAAACTCAACATTCAGAAAACTATGATCATGGCATCCTGTCCCATCACTTCATGGCAAATAGATGGGGAAACAGTGGACACAGTAGCTGATTTTATTTTTCTGGGCTCCAAAATCACTGCAGATGGTGATTGCAGCCATGAAATTAAAAGACGCTTACTCCTTGGAAGGACAGTTATGACCAACCTAGACAGCATATTAAAAAGCGGAGACATTACTTTGTCAACAAAGGTCTGTCTAGTCAAGGGTATGGTTTTTCCAATGGTCATGTATGGATGTGAGAGTTGGATTATAAAGAAAGCTGAGCGCTAAAGAATTGATGGTTTTGAACTGTGGTGTTGGAGAAGGATCTTGAGAGTCCCTTGGACTGCAAGGAGATCCACCCAGTCCATCCTAAAGGAGATCAGTCCTGGGTGTTCATTGGAAGGAATGATGTTGAAGCTGAAACTCCAATACTCTGGCCACCTGATGCAAAGAGCTGACTGATTGGAAAAGACCCTGGTTCTGGGAAAGATTGAGGGCAGGAGGAGAAGGGGACGACAGAGGATGAGATGGTTGGATGGCATCACTGACTCAGTGGACATGGGTTTGGGTGGACTCCTGGAGTTGGTGATGGACAGGGAGGCCTGGCGTGCTGCGGTTCACGGGGTCGCAAAGAGTCGGACACGACTGAGTGAGGGAACTGAACCTTAGTGATAGTCTCAGTAACTCACTTTATGTCATATGGAAAAATGAGCACATTTTTCTCTTGGTTTTATACACACTGTGTTGGAATTAATTATAAATCCATCCTGACATGATCTCAATCTGTATTCACCCTCTCAGATTTTTCATTCATGTATTTAAGGAAGCAGCTTTGAAGCTACTTGTGTATCACATAGTTAGGGGTGGAAGTGGAGGAGGCAGTGACAAATACATGAGTTTAGAACATTTTTTATTAAAAGCAATTTTGTTTATTCATTCTGTATGCTTTACTCAGTTTTTTCCCCAGGTGTAATTTGCATGACTATGGAATGAGAACTGTTTATTTGAAAAGCTGAAATGAACAATTCAGGTTAGGGAGCGGGGTAGAGAGGTTTGGGATATAGGCTGTACTTGCCAATCAAATCATGAATCTCAGTGATGCTTGAGAAACTAAAAATTCACATAAAAAGATGAATTAGACAAAGCTGAGGAACTGAATATTTATATTTCTGCCTCTAAGAAAATGAACTCTGTGGAATGAAATGACATCATCATCGTTTGGGAATCTTGTGGTTAGACATTCAATATGCAGACGAAGGTTGGGTTCCTGAAGATAGTTTCTATGCTAAGGGAAATATTGGATGTCAGTGTTTTTCCAGGGGCTATTTTGGCCTCTGTAAGTTTTAGTTAATAGGGAAATAAATAGTTTATCAGAGTAGGTAAACCATTTTCCCTGCTTTTTTGCAGTTATTGTTTTTTCTTAACAACTTAGGTTTTTAAAATAGTAAAAAACAGAGTTTTGAAAATAGTTAAAAACAAAGATTTAACTATTTGTTAAAAATTTGAATCTTCCCCATTATTTTTTTAACACTTCATTTTAAGGAGCAGTTTCAGGTTGAAATCAAAATTTAGAGGAAGAGACAGAGATTTTCCATATACCCCCTGCCAGTGCAGGAGACATAAGAGATGCTGGTTGGATCCCTGGGTCAGGAAGATCCCCTGGAGTAGGAAATGGCTACCCACTTCAGTATTCTTGCCTGGAAAATTCCATGGACAGAGGAGCCTGGCAGTCTCCCAGTCCATGGGGTTGCAAAGAGTTGGACATGACCAAGCAACTGAGCTTGCACGCACACTTAATTCTTTTTAGTGATGAATAATATTCCATTTTCTGGACCTACTGGAGGACATCTTTGTTGCTTTCACATTTTGGTAATTATGAATAAAGCTGCTATAAAAATCCACATGCAGGTTTATATGTGGATATAAGTTTTCATCTCCTTTTGCTAAATACCAAGGAGTACAATTGCTAGATTGTATGAAGAGTGTGCTTAATTTTATAAAAAACTGTTAAACTGTCTTACAAAGTGCCTTCACCAGTTTGCATTCCTACCAGCAAATCTAGAGTTCTTGTTATTACATATCCTTGCCAGCATTTGGTATTGGCAGCATTCCAAATTTTGGCCATTGTAATAACTGTATAGTGGTATCGCATTGTTTTAATTTGAATTTTTCTGATGACTGTGATATGAAGCATCTTTTCATAGCTTATTTGCCATCTGCATATCTTCTTTGGTAAGGTATCTGTCAAGGTCTTTGGTCCATTTTTTAACTGGGTTGCTTGTTTTCTTATAATTGTTGAGTTTTAAGAGTTCTTTGTATGTTTTGGGTGACAGTCCTTTGTCAGATGTGTCTTTTCAAATATTTTCTCCCAATCTCTGGCTTGTCTTCTAATTTTCTTGACAGTGTCTTTCACACAACAGAAGTTTTAAATTTTAATAAAGTCTAGCCTACCAAGTATTTCTTTCATGGATTGTGCATTTGGTATTTTATGTAAGAAGTGATTCCCATATCCAAGGTCATGTAGGCTATATTTATCTCCTGTGAGTTTTATAGTATTGTGTTTCACATTTAGGTCCATGATCCCTTTTGAGTTACATTTTGTGGAGAGTGTAGGGTTGTTCCAGCACCATTTGTTGATGAGACTGTCTTTCTTCCACTGCCATTATTTATCCTATTTTTTTTTTTAATCTAATGTTTGTTCTTTGAAATACAGGAGTAGGTGAAGCAACATAACTGGCTCTTATGTCTTATGTTAAGACTTTGAGATGCCTTTGGACAGAGAATTTCATTGAGTCAGAAGAATTACTGTGATAATTGGAATTTTTTTTTCTAGTTTTCATACAATTTTGAGGGATTGTCATCTTTTCATAAAACCTGATAAATTCGTTTATATAATTGATAAAAATCTTTCTTGGTATTATGTAACTTACTGTAGGTGAAAAGTGCAATAGTAGACTGTTACCTTTCAGTTTTGTCTTTGTGTTCCCATCAGTCCCTCTTCTCCTTCCCTGTAGGGTGTGAGGTCCCTGACAGAGCCTCTGTTCTGCTAAAATCTGTCCTCCCCCTCAGCTGGCCTGGCTCTTCGAGGACTTCCTCCCTCCACACAAGCTGAATATATCGCTTTTGTTGCTAAGCTCTTATTTCTAGGGTGATGATACCTTTACCTGGTAAATTCTGTCTCTGTGTAAGAAAGCTAAAGTGACTCCCTGGACTGGGTCACTCCTGTAATATAGGCTTCAGGGAGGCCTTTCTGAGAGGATATTCCCACCCTTGTTGACTTAGTCAAAACTATGACCCTAAAAGTAGAAGTTACAAGTCAAGGATGAGGGAAAAATGGGCCCTTGGCAGATCTGGGAGATAACTTTTTAAAAATACTACTTTATGAAAAAATATGAGACAGCTACTTCTCCACCACTGTATAGGGCCAGCTATGATTTTGCTCGTCATTTTGCTTTTCCTGTGTTCTGGGAAATGTGTAGGTCATCTAGGGAGCAGGGCATACACAGAGCATTCAAGTTGACAGCGAAGGGAGCAGAGATTGGCATATAGAACTCAGGTGTATTTTTCTGGGTCTTTCCAGTGGTTCTTGACATCTTAGAAAAGATAACCACAAATAGAAAAGTTAGGATGAAAACAGTAATTTGAAGACTATGAGGCAATCTCATCTGATTTTAAAAGTACCATATGCTCAAAACCAAAATGTACCCTTTGTTGCAATGTCCCAGGAGAGGAAGTGGACAAGAAGCTGACATCAGTGTTCAGATACCTCAAATACCTTGATGGTCAGTGGGTCTTGCGATCTACTGCAGTCAGGATGCTCCATGATGGGCCAGCTCTGGGTTTTCAGATTCAGCTTGTGACACTGTGCTGCCATCAAGGAGCTGACCTTGAGATTTCTGCTGGGTGCCGAGAAAGCGTGAGCTCCATGGCTTGTCAGAGGGAGTTCAGTTCAGTTCAGTCGCTCAGTCGTGTCCGACTCTTTGCAACCCCATGAACCGCAGCACGCCAGGCCTCCCTGTCCATCACCAACTCCCGGAGTCCACCCAAACCCACGTCCATTGAGTTGGTGATGCCATCCAGCCGCCTCATCCTCTGTTGTCCCCTTCTCCTCCTGCCCCCATCTTTCCCAGCCTCAGGGTCTTTTCCAGTGAGTCAGCTCTTCGCATCAGGTGGCCAAAGAGGGAGCCTGAGGGTGATATCATCACAGCTACTTCCAGGATGAACTCAGTTCTAGTGACCCAGCTAAAAATTGTAGACAGCAGCAGATTTGGGGTCTGAGTTAGTTAAACCAGTGGTGGCCAGCCTTTTTGGCATCGGGGACTGGTTTCATGAAAGACGGTTTTTCCACGGATGGGCCTTGGGCAGAGGAGACGGTTCAGGCCGTAACATGAACAGCAGGGAGCAGCAGATGAAGCTTCACTCGCTCTCCCGCTGCTCACCTTGTGTGGCCAGGTTCCTGACTGGCCGAGCACTGGTGCCAGTCCATGGCCCTGGAGCTGGGGACCCATGACTTAGACAAGTATGCCGCCTACGCCTTACCTTGGAGTGGAGAGGAGCCTTGAAAATCCAGAGCATTTGGTGTTGACATGTGTAAAGAACGGTGTGCTTTGGCTGTCTTTTGCCAATTTGAATATGTTATATGTAGGACGTGTTAGTATAGCAAGCAGTTTTTGTGAAGCAATCTTATTCTATATCTTTTTTCTTCAGATTATGATTTACCTTATTGACAAGGTACTTCCCGAAAGCTATTTTGTCAACAATCTCCGGGCACTGTCCGTGGATATGGCCGTCTTCCGTGACCTCTTGAGACTGAATCTCCCTGAATTATCTCAGCACCTGGATACTCTTCAGAAAACTGCAAACAAGGAGAGTGGAGGTAGTGATGATTCGATGCTATTTTACCTTTGAAAATAGTTTACTTTTCTGTTATCACTGTACCTATGAGCCTAAACCTTGAATGGTGGAAATACATGTTTTCAGATATTTCAGTTGGTAGGAGCTTGGTGCAGTGAAATAGATTTCTAGAGAACAAAAACAGAACTAAGAACAAAACCCAAACAGAGGGCCAGATGTTGAATCTCTAACTGGTTATGGTTATTAAGTCAGGAACCCAATACCTCACCAGTACCAGCTCACCAACTGTGTACTGTACTCTAGGTAAAGAATGGCATCCATGCCTTGCTATTAGTTAAACTGCTCTAAGTTGGCATCAAAACTATAAGAGTTCTTTAAAATTGAACTACAGGCACAGCTTGGCCGAGCCTGTGGTTTTGCTTCAACCACTGAGGTTATGGATAGCAGAATATGTATTTTCATAAGGTTGTAGGAGATAAAAGCAGTCCTTTGGGCTGAGATGTTTAATGCTCCTTTATTCATTCATGTGAAGGATATCTAGACTTACTTGAGATGAATGGACCAGTTCTTACTGGAGAAGGGCTCTCTTGGCCTCCAGGTATAATCTGCGCCCTGAAGGAAGGGACTGGGTTGATTAAGGTGGCAATGGAGATGTTTCTGCAAGTAGCTGAGTCTCCACCATCTAGCTGGCATCACCAGCTTCCCAAGTACCCGAGCTCGTAGCTGTCATCATACCCACTTCTTGCACTTTTCCAGATACCAAAAATACAATAAGTTTGCTATGTTTTCTTTAAATGGTTGTCAGTTCCTGACCCATGAATTTTAATCTGGGAAAATCTGAAAGGGTTTTGAAGATCTCATCTATGATTAAAATACACTGGAAATTATAGTGACACCCAGGTGTCTCTAAGCATTTTCTTCCAAGTAGTTGGAGTAATCTTATTTAATTTGGCTGTGCAGTATATTTGTGCACCAGTGAGGATTTCATAAAGCTTCCAGCAAGACCAGATTAGCCTGTTCCAGAGTCAGACACACTTCACTGGGCTCCACATTTGCCCAAATGCCTTGGTGACCTTAGATTCTAGTCCGTGAAGGAAGATACTCCTTTGTTCGTAGGTAAGAAGGAAGAAAATGGATACAGGAGGACAGATCTTGTTTTGCTTGTACTGGGGTAAATGTACCTTCTGACTGTAATTTGGAAAAAGATTAGTCTAGTATCTACATTTTTATATTTCATTAAAATATATGCTTATGCAGTCATAATGGGGAGTGGGAGAGGACTCTATTGTTTTAGTAAATTCGGAAACTCCAAAGAGAGCTGGATCACAGATCTTTAAAACTGAATGTAGTTTAGTTAAAAATATTTTAAAATGTCACTTTGCTTAATCTCCAAGTATTTGGGGATTTTCCAGCTTTCTTTCTGTTATTGATTTCTGGTTTAATTCCATTGTGGTCTGAGGACTATGAATAAATTAACAAGTAAACAAATAATTGCTTATGAGCAATTTTATTTTTATCAGCAGCATTTGAATAAAAGTAGGCTTTAGGAGGTTTTAGAAATCAGCTTTTACTTCTGAGAGGTTAAAATCCTTTCTTTTTATCTTGTTTTCAATAAGGAGAACATCCTCCTTGATTTTCTGTGCCCCATGGTAGGTAGACCCAAGTTAAATTTTAGGTTAAGATTTCTGAAATGTCACAAAGAATCTGTGAAGTTCATAGTATTGCGATTTTTATTAAACACACCTATTTCTCCCTCTACCCCCACCCAAATAAGGAAAGAACAAGGATTTAGAGAGATTTAAAAATCAGCCAGGAAATAGATCATAACATATTAGGTTGGCCAAAAAAAGTTCTTTTGGTTTTTCCTGTAAGATGGTATGGGAAAACCCAAATGAACTTTTTGGCCAAGCCAATATTTGAGTGGACATGAGAGATTGAAAGAGGGTATTTTCGTATCTTGCACATGATCAATTCTGCAGAAATTAGAGTGTTTGTTTTATTGCAGGTGGATATGAGCCCCCACTGACCAATGTCTTCACGATGCAGTGGTTTCTGACTCTCTTCGCTACGTGTCTCCCTAACCACACAGTTTTAAAGATTTGGGATTCAGTTTTCTTTGAAGGTTCAGAAATCATCCTACGGGTGTCGCTGGCTATCTGGGCAAAGTTGGGAGAGTAAGTAATTCCCCCTTCCCGCTCTGCACTGTGGTGTGAGAGCCTTAGAGCACTTTTGTTCTCCAGTGTGTAAAGCCATCAGTGTTGAAGTGTGAGGAAAACAGACAGTGATGGACACTGTGCAGTTGCTTTCCTTCTGAGCTCTCTGTCGGCTCATCGGTGAGTGTTGGGGCAAGTGGAAGCTGTTTTAGAGAAGGAGGCAGGCAGTTCCAGGTGCTGACGTCCTCAGTGCTGGCGTCCTGGCAACCACGCTGTTGGCATCTTCCCTAACCTTGGTTGGGGAGAGGGGCTTAGGTGGAAGAGGAGCTGAAAGATCTGGAGACAACTGTGTGGGTTTGTTGGTTAAGACTGCAATTTGGCTTATGTTTGAGTCCTTATAATTTTTTTGTTGTTGTTCAGTCGCTTAGTCGTGTCTGACTCTGTGACCCCATGGACTGCAGCACACCAGGCTTCCCTGTCCTTCATTATCTCCTGGAGTTTGCTCAGACTCATGTCCATTGAGTCAGTGATGCCATCCAACCATCTCTTCCTCTGCTGCCCCCTTCTTCTCCTGCCCTCAATTTTCCCATCATCAGGGTTTTTTCCAAAGTATTGGCTCTTCACATCCAAAAGTATTGGAGCTTCAACTTCAGCATCAGTCCTTCCAGTAAATAGTCAGGGTTGGTATTTTGTGGAATGTGATAAAATTAAATGAGATAATATATATAAAGGTATCTAGCATGGTGCATGGTACCCAGTCAATAGTAGAACACATGGAACTTCTTTCCTTTCATCAGGAGTTAGTTCCACTTGAAGTCTATTACCACCAAGCAGATTTCACTTACATTCTTGTCTAGTATCAGGGCTGAAAACCCTAGAGTATTTTCACCCATCTCTAATGCATTATGACTATTACATTAAATATCTGCCTTTTGGGTAATGGAAGAGACATCAGGATGAAATTGTTACAGTTAACTGAAGATGCAGAAAAGTTTTTAATGTTTCTTTCCTAGAGCTATTTTTAAATGACTTGAGTGGGTACCCATAGACAACACGTCAGAGAACTTATAAATCATTTCCAGTGTTTTGTTTCAGAAACCTCTTAAGTAGCCTTTTTATTGATGGGAAGTTGTTTCCTGAGAGACTTGCAGCATTTTTTAATTTTGTAAGAAAAATCCACCACATAACAATTCAGGGATTAAAAAAAAATCGTTGTGTGGAAGTGTTTTTAAATATCATGTAGCAATCTCCTCTGCCTTTGTTTCACTGTAGATAGCTTTTCAGTGAGGCAAATAAATTCACCTGTGGGGGATTTGTTGTGACATTTACATACGTGTTTACTTTCTTCCGATGTCAGCCTTTTTCTGCACTCGTGTATTTCCAACCTACTACCTCGTAAACTGTTTGAGCGTTGGTAGTTTCTCTATTAGCAGTATCACCCTCTAACCATCGTGATAGTTACTGAGTAATTAGCTTGTGGGATTAAAATACTACAGCACTTTACTCTATGCTGGGTTGATTCTAGTCCCCTTTTTGTTAGTTCTTAATTATGGGGGCAGGAGGAAAAGAGGTGGTTCTTATTTTATTTGTATCTAATCTATCCATTATCTGTAGGATCAGAATTTATTAATATGGTCATCCCAGGGATGTCACACTATTGAAATATTAATGGCTACACTTAACGTTCAATATTCACAGAGTGCTTTCAATGGACAGGCGTGATTATAAGCACTGTAGATGTAAAATTAACTCATTTAATCTCACTGTCATCCTAGGAGGTACGTTCTGTTATCATCCCCATTTTACAGATGTCATCACTGAGGCACAGAGAAGTTAAGGAAATTCCCCATGTCACCTAGTTAGTAAGTGGGAAGCCCTGATTTTGAATGTGGGTACATTGGCCCTATTATCTGTGCTTCTAGTAATGGGAATCTACTGATTATAAATGGCTCCTGTTTACGAAGCTCAGGAATCTGTGAGTTAGACTGGTGGAATTTTAAATGTTTCAGAGTCTTTGCTCATTATAATTTCACATGTTTTGACCGTGCAGCTCATTAATTGAAAGGAAAGGCAACCAACACACACCATCAAGGTCCTCTAGTGCAGTCGTTATGTTAAGAAGTTTAAACTTCTTACTTATCTTACTCAGTTCTCCCCACAACCCCGTGAAGTAGGTAGGATCATTTTCCCTGTCTTTTCAGGTGAGAAAACTGCCCCAGGAAGGCTGACTGACTAGTTCAAGGTCCCACAGCTAGTGAGTAGAGCTGGGATTTAGCCCTGGATCTTTCTGACTCCCGGGCCTGTCGTCTTCCCCACAAACTGTCCGTCGGAAAAGTCCTGTCCATCACGCAGGTGATCCCTGGGTCCTTTGTCCCTGAGTAACATCAGGGCTTCGTGTGTGCGTATCCACGGGGCCCTTCCCGTCACCTTGACTCTGCAACGTGAGATTTCCTCCTTTGTTCATACAAGGGCACTTGTGGAACATATAAGCTGTCGACCGTCAGCACAGTCTCAGCGGCATCTCTTTCACGTGTCCTTTCTTCTCTGACCCGCCTGCCTTGGCTCCCTCCCTCATTGTCTCGTGCCTGGCACAGTCCTCCGTGGCCTCCCTCATGCCGTCCACTTGCCATGCCGCCTCTGGGGCAACCTGGCCAATGGCATCTCTGTTCCCACACTCTCTATTAAAGGCCTTTCAGTGACTGGCCCTGAGAGGGCTCAGCAGGCAGATGAGGCCTTTGCGATTTGCTCTCTGCACCTCTCTGCCTTCACTTCTCTAGTGGCTCAGTGGTAAAGAACAGGAGACAAGGGTTCCATCCCTGGGTCGAGAAGACCACCTGAAGGAGGAAATGGCAACTCACTCCAGTATTCTTCCTGTGGACTGAGGAGTCTGGCGTACTGCAGTCCATGGGGTCACAAAAGAGTTGGACATGACTAAGCGACTAAACAACACCACCATCACCCTCAGCTCTCTCTGGCTTACCCCTGGCCATACAGCCACCCCCTCTGTGATCTGTAGACCTCCATGCGTTTCCCCGGGTAGGGCCTTCTGTCTCCTGTATCCACATGTTTGGGATGCTTTTTCCTCCTTGTCAACCTGGAGAATATTTATCAAAACTCACCTTAAACATTGCTTCTCTTCCTCACTCTCCACCTGACCCCCAGGATAAACTTAACCACTTTTCAATTTATGCCCACATGCTGCTCTAAATTTTTGTATTAGCACTTCATTTCATTTATTTACTTACATGATTGTGGCACTGTGATTTGAACAGAACTCTGGAGCCTGGAATTTTCCCAGGATCATATTTTTTTTTTACTGGCTCTATGGAGATCCCCCAACCTTAGCATATGTCAAAGAGTATGTCTTATGATTGGTAAGGCAAATAGTTTTTCTGCTATGCAAAGAATGACATAATAGATAAAACAAATACGCAGGTCTCTGCTTTGGATCGGAAAAGGCAATGGCACCCCACTCCAGTACTCTTGCCTGGAAAATCCCATGGATGGAGGAGCCTCGTAGGCTGCAGTCCATGGGGTCGCTAAGAGTTGGACGTGACTGAGCGACTTCACTTTCACTTTTCCCTTTCATGCACTGGAGAAGGAAATGGCAACCCAATCCAGTGTTCTTACCTGGAGAATCCCAGGGATGGGGGAGCCTGGTGGGCTTCCGTCTATGGGGTCGCACAGAGTCGGACACGACTGAAGCGACTTAGCAGCAGCAGCAGCTGCTGCTGCTTTGGATTCCTTTTTCTCCCCTCTCTAGAAGAAGAATTAAAGTTTCACCTGTCTCACAGGATGGCAGGTGACACTCTTTGTTTACCTGTTGAACCAAATGCAAGAAACAAGGTGTAACTGCTATGTTTAAAATGGATAACCAATGAGGACCTACTGTATAGCACATGGAACTCTGCTCAACGCTATGTGGCAGGTTGGATGGGAGGAGAGTTTGAGGGAGAATGGATACATACATACATACATACATACATATATGGCTGGGTCCCTTCAGTATTCACCTGAAACTATCGCAACAATACAAAATAAGAAGTTAAAAAATATAACAGGGTATAATCTCCAGCTAGCAGCAGTCTCCTGAGAAGGGGAAAGACTGTCTGTGAAAATATCCTGAGGACTGATGAAATGTGCAGATAAAGTTCTTGTGTGCTTCATCTTTCATTTCTACTGCGGTTTGGTTTCAGTCTGTCAGTGGTACTGCTGTTTGCAGATTGAGAGCAACAGATTCCCTCCAGGGGATAATTGTTCTTGGTTACCCAATTTCTTAGTTATTATTTCTGATCAGTGATGGGTGTTCAGATGTGTAGAAGGTGTCACGTGGAAGCAATAAAAATGCCACCGGGGGAGCTGTGAGTCAGGAGAGCAGTATAGCAAAAAGAGGAACTCACCCTGGAATAAGTACCACTATGTTGACCTTCCAGTTTTTAAAATCTTTTCTCTGCCTACCACACGCTGTACTGTGAGTGTAATCATAGGATTCTGACTTCCGCTGATTGCTAACTTGGTTGATTTGATGGCAAGGGAAAACATGTCTTGTGCTTGCAGCATGTACCTGACAGCAGGGGTCTCCTAAACAATTCCTTTTTCTGTCCTTTCTTTATCTAGGCAGATAGAATGTTGTGAGACAGCAGATGAATTCTATAGCACCATGGGGCGCCTTACCCAGGAGATGCTAGAGAATGATCTTCTGGAAAGCCATGAACTCATGCAGGTGAGTGGACAACTGCCTGCCCCGCTTGGCTCAGGGGACCCCAATACCTTGATAACAGGCAGGCGAAGGAAGAAACAAATAATGGATATTTATTATGACTTTCATTAAACAATGTTATATTTCAATTGTGGCTCAAATAAAGCTGGAAAGTTTTTTAAAAAGCCAGAAAATGCATTACCAAAACAAACAAACGAAAAACCCCATCGGAGCACCTCCCCCCTTACCAGCAAATCCCCAGGCACTTATTCTGGATCTGATTCTTAGCCTTAAAGGGAGGCTGGTGGGGAGAAATAATTACTTCTGGGAAGGAATTATTGAGGATCAAAAGGAGATTATTCTACTTCTCATTTTGGTTTGTTTTGTCCACATTTGCAACTCATGTTTTTACATAGGAATCATAAATTTCAAAATCACCGACTTGAAGGGTTTTGTTACTTTCTGGCGTGTTACTGTATCTCAACATCATACCGGGCAAGTCATTAAAAATGGCAGTGAGTGCAGAAGAGATAGCACATTTGTTAACACTGTGTCTTCCATTAGGCTCTGTAACGTGATTTTTTTTCTCAGTCTTTGCCTGGGCTTCTGATGACTATTTCTCTTCCAGGTTTTTCCTTCGTCCTGCAAGCTAACCAGCAGTGGTTCTTGTCCAAAGCTGTTGTTGGGCCTTGGTTCCTTCTTTCTCTGTGGTGCCTCTCTCTCTCTTTTCTTGGTTTTAATGTTGGGTTCCATGCCTGAGGTCATTTTGGTGACTGGGGCCCAGTCAACAGGTTAGAAAACAAAGACTCAGGCCCTCATTTCGGACCTGAGAAGAGGTTTTATTTCTCTCCTTATCTCCTGGCACCTCCACCTGCTTCTCAGAACCCCTCACTTTTAGCAGAAAGCTGCCCAAGTTGTTGAGAATACTGACCACCCAGTAGAATTTCCCTGAGCCTTTCTGTTTTTTATTTCACCTTTTCTTTGCATTCTCATCTCTTCTTCCTTCCTTCCTGTCTGACTTAGGGCAGGAAGTATGCTCTCTGCACCTGTCCTCTGTGCTGATTCCAGCTCCTGTCACACCTCCCGAGCCATTGCTTTCTTGCTTCTTCTCTCTTTTAGAGGGAAGTGTCTTTTATGGAACACTATTCTCATATTCCCCATGTGAGATCCTTTTCGGAGGTCCCCAGTCTTTTTGGCACCAGGAACAGGTTTTGTAGAAGACAAGTTTTCCACAGATCGGGGTCAGGGGAGTGGTTTCAGGATGATTCAAGATTCAAGCATGTTATTTATTGTGCACTTTATTTCTAATCTGATGCTGCTGGTGATCTGACGGGAGGTACTGATCTGTGGCCTGGAGGATGGGGACCTGGCTTGACATCCTACAGAACTGCCTGATTCACATGCCCCAGGCAGGACTCTGAGATCTCATCCCTTTTTCCTCACTCATGAAAGAAACTTCAATGACTACTTATTACTTACAAAACAGAGAGCGTGGATTTCTCAGCTCCTCATCCAATGCTCTTGACTGTCTGGCATTTATCTCTCTTTCCAGCCATGGTTCCTATTATTCCCTTTTGTACCCTTGACCCAAGTCACGGCAAGCCACACTGTCTTGCGTGTTCCTGGAGCTACTGCGGGATATGCCTGCTCCAGACCTTTGCTCCGTCTGTTCAGTGTCCCTCGGTCCCTTCATGTGTTTCGGGCCTGCCTCCCTGTGAAAGTGCCAGTTCATATGCCATCGCCTTCATGAAACAGTCGTTCATCGGTCAGTTCATTTCAGTTGCTCAGTTGTGTCCAACTCTTTGCGACCCCATGGACTGCAGCACGCCAGGCCTCCCTGCCCATCGCTAACTCCCAGAGTTTACTCAAACTCATGTCCATTGAGTCAGTGATGCCATCCAACCATCTCATCCTCTGTCGTCCCCTTCTCCCGCCATCAATCTTCCCCAGCATCAGAGTCTTTTCAAATGAGTCAGTTCTTTGCATCAGGTGGTCAGAGTATTGGAGTTTCATCTTCAGCATCAGTCCAGTCTCTGACAGACTCAACTAAAAGCATCTCCTTTGACTCACCACGTTTTCCTTGTACCGCTCTTGTGAGCCTTCATCACCTTCTGCCTTGATTTGAGGCTGGATTTCATTTCCTCAGCGATATGATGAATTCCTGGAGGACAGGCACTGTTTTCTCATAATATGTAGCACTTTACCTTCTCCTAGAAGGAAACAAGAAAGAAAGTGAAGTCGCTCAGTTGTGTCCGACACTTTGCGACCCCATGGACTGTAGTCTGCCAGGGCCCTTCGTCGATGGGATTTCCCAGGCAAGAATACTGGAGTGGGTTGTCATTTCCTTCTCCAGGGGATCTTCCCGACTCAGGGATCGAACCCAGGTCTTCTGCACTACAGGCAGACTTTTTACTGCCTGAACCACCAGGGAGATACTACCTTCTCCTAGTGATGCACAATAAATGTATTAGTTCATTAAGCAAATAGCCATTGAGTGTCTGCAACTAGTTTTCAGTCTTCTGTCTCTCTTTTTTTCAAGAAGTATTTGTGTGTTTGGCTGTGCCAGGTCTCAGTTGCAGCATGCAGGATCTTCCATCTTCCCTGTGGCGTGTGGAGTATTTTAGTTGTGGCCTGCAGGATCTTTAGTTGCAGCATGTGGGATCTAGCTCCCTGAGCAGGAATCGAACCCAGGCCCCCCGTATTGGAAGCATGGAGTCTTAGCCACAGGCACCAGGGAAGTCCCTCTGCCTTCTCTTTCTCAGCCAGTGTTTGCTGAATTAAACCGCCTCACCTGATGGCCCTCTTCCATGGCCCCTCTCCTCTAATGCAGTCTGTACTTTGCTGCCAGAGGAATCGTCAACACTTACTGCTTTGGTGATTTTATTGTTCTTCATAAAACCTCCCCGCGCTTCCTTGTTATTAACAAGTAAAATGCTTCAGCCTAGTCTTCTAGGCCCTGTATTAAGTTCTCCAAATGTTAACTGAGCGCCTCTCTCTGTCAGAAGACCTCGTTGTGGAAAGTAATGCCTGGTTTTACCTCTAAAGATGAACAGGAGTAGGTCATACTCTGTGTGTGTATGTGAGTGTGTGTGTGCAGGGGTGCATGCACATGTGAGGGTGCGTGTGTGTGTTGGAGACAGTGGTGCAGATCAGAGAGGCAATGCACGGTCGGCAGAGCAGCAGGACTCAAGGCATCGGCAGTGGAAAACATTATGGTGTGGGAAGGAAGCTATAGGAGTTTGGTTTGCTGATTGGAAGACTGATGCTGAAGCTGAAGCTCCAGTACTTTGGCCACCTGATGTGAAGAGCTGACTCATTGGAAAAGACCCTGATGCTGGGAAAGATTGAGGGCGGGAGGAGACGGGGGCGACAGAGGGTGAGACGGTTGGATGGCTTCATTGACTCAGTAGGCATGAGTCTGAGCAAACTCCGGAGGAGACAGTGATGGACAGGGGAGGCTGACATGCTGCAGTCCTTGGGGTCGCAAAGAGTCGGACATGACTGAACACTGAACGTCTGTGGGGAAGACCACAACCCATGCTAAGGAGTGTGGACTTGATCCTTCAGGTCAAGGTTGTGAGGTGGCGCTTGCTGGAGCTCCTGGGATTCTGCTGAAGCTTTGGGAAGGGGAGAAGAAGAGCTGTGGGTCTGAGAGGGTTCAGGGAGAGGAGGGAGACAGTCTTAGTTCTGTCTTGTGTCGACTCCAGGGGCAACTCCATGAAGGGTGGACTTGAAGCGGTCTCTGTCAGGAGGTGAGGAATTGAAGAAGCGAGAATGGAACAGAAGCAATACTTAGAGGGTGAAGTTGCAGGACTTGGCCGTGGAAAAGGGACATGGGGTGAGGGAGAAAGGAAGGGAGAGACAAGGACAGCCCACAGGTTTCTGGCTTAGGAAGAAGAGGGGACGTTCATGGCGGGAGAAATGTGGGTTTTTCTCATATTGGCTGCATTGGCGGTGTTCCGTGGTTGCCCCATTCCTCACCTATCCAGAGGTGTTCCCCACTACTCCACAGCCAGGACCTATTGCCCTGGCCATAGCTCTGTCCTCACCCTGTCCTCTGTGGGCTGTGTTCATCCACATGGCAAGGCTTGGGGTTCCCTCCAGCATCCTCTCTGAAAATCCTTTCTGTCTACCAGATCCTTCTCAGCCTCCCCCAGCTCCTCCCACCAGGCTGTTCGCTCAGCCCTTGTTAATGATACTAATAGTTCCTTCCCACTCCTTCAGCAATTAAGATTGTCAGCAATTGTTACTACAGACTTAGTGCTCATTGCAAATTACATTGTTGGGTATTTTTCAAATGTGTTCATGTCCTCTCCCTAATGAAGGAGCAGGTTGCCTAATGATAGGGCCTTGTATTACCGTGTATCCCCATAATGCCTACCGTAGCGCTAAGAATTGCCCCTGGCTGCTCCATGGGTACACAGGACTATAAAACATGAGGATTTGAGGCAGTGGTTTTCAAACTTGACTGTGTATAAGCAACATGTCAGGAGTGTATTAAAAGGCAGATATTTGGCCCATGGGTGGTTGTTATGCAAGTGGTTTGAACTAACACTTATAGAAACACTGGTTTAAAAGACACTTAAAGGTCCACTAACCTAATTCTGTCACTTAACAGAGAAGAAACTAAGACACGGAGAGTGAGCATCTTGCCGTATTCTTGGGTTATGTAGCAGCAGGCCCAGAACTGGTGGGATCCAAGCTCAACAACGTGGCCTGCTGCTGCTCCTCACCACCCAGCACAGGGCTTCCACCTTACTCAAAACATGTCTTTCTAAAATCTGAAATCCCCTTTAGAAGAATGAGCAACATTTTATTTCACCTAAAGTTTAAACAATGTAAATGACAGATACATTGCACTTTGTCTTCTGGGAATTTCCTATCTTAGATACCAGGAAAAAAGAGAACCCCCTCTTTACTTTGCTTTAAGAGAATCCTAGAAGGAAAAATGTAGACTGTGGCTTGATTGATTAGATTTCATTTTAGCAGCATTTCCTCTGCCGAGGAAAACATCTGGTGAAGATGAATTGAGCCTAATTTTGTACAACTTACGTTTTCACGTTTTTTGTAAAACATGGCATTGATGAAAAAGAGAAATACTATTCCTCTTCAGTAGTACCTAAATATAAATGTCTATTTAAACACATGTTGGTAGTTTGGGCAGTAAAGAGACTTGTTGGTTTTCCTTGACATCATGGAGTATTAAGGAAAGAAATGCTGAATGTCATTTCAAGCACTCTCTTTTTTGTATTTACTGCTTAAGAAAATTAATTCAGTGGCTATGATCCAATTACGGTAGACCTTAAGTCTGTCAGCAAACTTGAAATGACTCCAGATGAAAAATGTGGACTGCATACAAGATCTTTATTTTTGAACTGAAGAAATGCAAAGATTCTCCCTGTTTGGTTTTCCCTACTTCTTTCAATGCTAGGTGCCATGCGCCAAATTATCTACTGGGTTTTTTTTTTTTTTTTAACCATAAATCTCATCACTCTTTTATATTATTAGCAATGTCCATTTAAATAAGAGATAATGTTAGAAAAAGAGATTGGGAGAATACTGATGAAATAGTTTATATGGATTTTGCTATGCCTTTTAACAAAGTCTCTCATGGATTCTTTGAGAGAAAAGTTATAGTTTTTTTTTTTTTAAACTGCTCCAGGACTTGGTTGTGGCATGCAAGATTTTTTTTAGCTGTGGCATGTGAACTCTTAGTTGCAGCATGAGGAATCTCATTCTCTGACCAGGGATCGAACTGGGTCCTCCTGCATTGGGAGCACAGAGTCTTAGGAACTAGATCACCAAAAATCTCCCTATATAATTTTATATATAGTTATTATATATAGAGGGCTTCCCTGGTGGCTCAGCAGTAAAGAATCTGACTGCAATGCAGGAGACCCAGGTTTGATCCCTGGGTTGGAAAGATTCCCTGGAGGAGGGCGTGGCAACCCACTCTAGTACTGTTGCCTGGAGAATCCCACGGACAGAGGAGCCTGGCAGCCGGTAGTCCAAGCGTCGCACAGAGTCAAACATGACTGGAGCGACTAAGCATCAGCAGCATTATATATAGAAAAGTTGGTTACATGCAATTACTAGACGAGTTTGGAAAACCTCACCCAAAGTGGTTGTCAATAATTTACAGTTACTTGAGGGGAGCTTTCATGTGCCATGAGACAGGATCTGCCCTCGGACTGTTCCCTTTTTCTATCAGTGATGAAATGGAAATCACGTGGATGTGAATGCTTGTCCAGTAGAAGGATACCATCTGATTAATTAGTGCTGTCAAAAATGAAACTGTCTGCCTTGCAAAATTGTGTGGGCCCATAACTGGAAGTGTCCAAGGGGCACCCTTGTGATCAAATGTTGGAGATGCTCTAGAGGGAGCGCTCTTGCGTGGGAGGGAGGTTGAACCAAATTATGTTTAAATTCCTTTTTAACCTTGATATTATTTGTGTACTCTACTTTGCCTCTAAGATAACTAGTAAAATTCCGTTCTTGGAATCAGTTGTAAGTCTCTGATTTACACAGTTGGGTACCTAGAGCTTCTCAGGTACCCTGAGGACCGTGGTGGTATTCCATGGACCTTCATGGGATAAATGTCTGCCGACAAGTGAGACCTTTGAGTGAGTGAATACATGCGAAATACTATAAGCACATTTCTTTCAGAAACACTGATTTATACTTTAAAGGGCTCACTAAAAGTAAATTACAGAGAAAGGCAGAGCAGGAAAAGAGCATGAATCCCAGTGGAGCCAGTGTTCTTTTTGGTCCAACATCTTTAGCTGAGTGGCCCTTGAAGGAGCTTGGTGAGACCGCAGACCATTTACTCTGGGGCAGGATGGGACAAAGCAGGCCCAAATGTACTCCTCTTTCTTTTCTCACACACTTCCTTCATGAGGCGGGGCCAAGGATTTTTTCTGATAACTTTTAATAAAATTGGCAGAAATAAAAGGTGACTCTTCAGCTAGACATCTCACTGATTGTCTCCAATGAGACATCTTCCTTCATTTGTAGAGAATTTTGAAATTCCTAACATTAGTAATTTCATCTTTTTTAATAGTGAAATTTATTTTTAATTGAAGGATATTTGCCTAACAATATTGTATTGGTTTCTGCCAAACATCAGCATGAATCAGCTATAGGTATACCTGTATCTCTCTCTCTCTTGAACCTCCCTCCCAGTAATTCCATCTTTTAAACTTGAATCACAATGATATGGGTTTGTTTATTGAGATATGATTGACATGTATTAGTTTCAGGTGTACAACATAATGATTCGGTATTTGTATATATTATGAAATGGTCACAAAAGTCCAGTGAACATCCCTCACTGTGCATATTTAAGACTTTTAAAAAACATTTATTTATTTTGCTGCACCAGATCTTAGTTGCAGCATGTGGTGTCTCGTTCCCTGACCATGGATCAAACCTCTGCTGGCCTTCTGTACTGTCAGTAAAGCAACTTTTTGGGCAGTGAACTGCTGGCAGCCTTTGTGGCATCAAAGAGAGTGTACTCTGACCGTGTTATTAATGAAACTATATGAAGTATTTTAGGCATACAGAATGTATTAAAATAATATGACAAAACTTACACACCCATGACCCAGTTTAAGAAATAAATCATTAACAACACAGGTGAACACCCTCATGTACTCCTCTCTGATCCCGTTCCTCTCAGAGGTAACCACCATCCTTCACTTTTTCATGATGAGTTTCATGCCTTCACTTTTCAGATGAAGAAAAGGAGGCACAGAGAGGTTGGGAACCAGCATCATCTCACATTCCGGACTGACGGGAGCCACAGGGTGCCTTCTGCTTCTTTCCAGGGGGAAACAGTTCACTGTTAGTACGTTTGTGCTGCTTCTCAGCCATTTTGGTACATGGATCTTCCTGGACTTAGGATGGGGTTACATGCAGATAAACTCATCATACACTGAAAGTGTATTTAATACACCTAACCTACCAAACATCACAGTTCAGCCTAGCCTGCCTTAAACATGCTCAGGACACTTATGTTAACCTATACTTGGGCAACGTCATCTGACGTGAAGCCTATTTTATAATGGAAAGTTGAATAATCCATATAATTTAATGAATGTTGAACTGCAAGTGAAAAACAGAACAGTTGTCTAGGTCCATAATGGTTGTAAATGTATTGTTTGTTTCCCCTGACGATCACTTGGCGGATGGGGAGCTTGATTGCCTAGCATCATGAGAGAGGATCTATGGCACATTGTAAGCCCAGGAAAAGATCCAAATTCAGAATTCAAAGAAGAGTTTCTACTGAATGCGTATCACTTTTGTACCGCCGTAAAGAGGAAAAATCATTTCAGTTGAACTGTTGTGAGTCAGGCACTATCTGTGATCAAGTATGCATGAGATGAGGTGATTTAGAGAGGATTTTTGTGGTCTTGATAGACTTTGTAACTTTGCATAATAAGCAATGGAGAATCAAAGGAATTATAGCCAGCACTTCTGTGTTTGGAGTCTTGGGATGTTACACTAAGGTCTAAGTGGATACCATGAAGTTTGGAGACAGTCAGATGTGCAGGCTGTGTAGAATGGAGATTTCAGTGCATTGATCCAGTGGTAGCTTTGAGCTGTGGGGGGAGACTGCAGCGCTAGGAAGCCCCTTTCAGAGCCCTCCTTTTTCTACCTGTGCAGAGATGAGACATTTCCTAAACCTTCTCAATTGAAAAATACTACTATAAAATATTTTCCTCAAAAAGTATCATCAGGACATTTGAATGGCTTCCCGGAAGAAATGAAGGTTCATGTGACTAATATGCATCTTCTGATGAATAAGAACCCAAAAGGTTGAAGAAATATGTTTGGAGCAATTAAATTTGTATCAAGAGAACAAACAAGATGATTTTCTTCTCACTGGTAGAATGATAGATCATCTTAAAATTCTGGAGGAAGCACAGGTGCTTTTCCCATTTTTATTTATAGATTTTTTAACAGCCCATACTTTACACCCTGTCACTTCCTTCTTCTTTTTTTTTTTTCTTTAAAAATAACAGTTAACAATTTTCGCCTAGAACTAATTCACAGACATTTGAAAAGGTGGTATCTTTGGAGGAAGCTTGCAGGTGATCATGAGATCGTCCCCCAGATTTAATTTTATCTGGAAGGCTGACATTTAATGTCTATAAAAATCATCAAGGAAGGCTTTGGAAAATGAGCAGTACATATAAAGAAGATTGATGGGTTCTCTGGGAAAGAAGTAATAGGGAGCTATGAATTTCTGAATTAATCCATCTATCAAAGGAGCAGGGGCATGTCAGACTCTCCCCATTTTCCCATCTCCACCCTCACCCTGTGTTCACCAGTTGGAGTGCCCAGTCGCAGCTGGATTGGTTTGAGGACTCACTATTGTTTTTTTAATTTTCTTTTTTATTCTTGTCTTTCTCTAAGATAATATTGAAGTGGACTCTCTCCATCAGCTGTGTAAGGAGCAGTCTCTACCTCTTCACACCCAAATCATAGAACTTTCCTGTCTTCGCAGGATTGATAAAGTTGTGTAAGACCACAATTTCAGACATGGCATTTTTGTTCTTGTTTTCCAGACTGTTTATTCCATGGCTCCATTCCCTTTTCCACAGTTGGCAGAGTTGAGGGAAAAATACACTTACAACATTACACCATTCCCTGCCACAGTTAAGCCCACCTCAGTTTCTGGGTAAGGTCTTTTATTTTTTTCCTTTTTATTTTCATGATGAAAGACTTAATATCTTGTTATTTATATTATTAAACCTCAGAAATACATTCGAAATAGCTTAGTGCTTAAAATATGAACATCTCTTTCCCAAAGGCTTTGATTTAAATTCAGGAGGAAGATTTGTGAAAGTGTTACTTTTCAAAGAAAGTTGGGACATAAACTGAAGTGGTATTTAGCAACCCTACAACTTATTTAAAAATATCAAATATTAAAAATCTCAGTAATTTAAAAAGTGTAGACTTGGTGCCTGAAGAGACAGATGAGCTAATTTAAAATACTGTGGTGACCAGAAATTGACAAATATATGTACATAGGAATTTAATATATGAAAATTTATATCACAGTGAAAAGATACACTATTTAGTAAGTGGTGCTGGACCAATGAGACTCAATCTGGAAAGAAATAAAATAGGAGTCATACTTTATACCACACATCAGGATAAATTCCATATAGATGAGAGTTAAATGGAAAAAAATGAAATAATAAAATAAGCAGCAGAAAATATGGAAGGATGTCTTTACTTCTTTGTAATTGGGAAGGTCTTAATAACTGACTCACAGTTTAAAAAATTAGGGAAAAAATTAAGCACTTTAAAAATAATTTTCTGCTTGACCAAAACCAAAACAGAGCAAAACAAAACAAACAAACAAACAACTCCATAAGCAGACAAAAAAATACTTGTGTAAAAATATTTGTAACTGATTTGTCTCATGTATAAAGTTCTTAGAAGTCCATAAGAAAATGACCACCCAACTGAAAAATGATGAAAGGAGGGGAATAGACAGTTTACATATAGGCAGCATCACTTAGACTTAGGGAAATGCAAAGTGAGATTGTAAGATTAAAGTGAGATTGAGATTCTGGTTTTTCACCTATCAGACTGACAAAAATTTAAAAGGTCGATGTGCTTTCTGTCGATAAGGCTATAGGGAAACAGACACTCTTATACTTTGCTGATGAGAGGTTAATTACCATAGGATTTGGGACAGGCAATTTGACAGTATTTCCCCAAATTATTCATGCGTATATCCTTTGACCCAGCAATTCTGCCTTTCTGATTTACCCCACAAATATATTTGTACACATGCAAAACACAGTGTGTATAAGGTTATTAACTGCAGTGATGTTTATAATAGTATAATATTGGAAACCACTCAAGTGTGCACCATTAATAGCCTAGTCCATAACATGGGCTATACAGATACAGTACAGTACATGCATACATATGATTATGTATACATGCAGTATAGTGTAGCTGTTAGAAAGATGAGAAAGAAGCTCTGTGTGTGAATACAGAGGCTTTTTTTTTTTTTCAGTTGAATAAAAGCAAGGTGCAGAAGAGTGTACTCATATGTAGTATGCTAATACTTATGAAAAAGAAAAATAAGACTAGTCATATTTGCTTATTTAACTGATAACAAAGCTGAAGAATACCTCAGAAATGAGTAACAGTGATCACCCGTGGGGATTAGGTGAGGCAAGAACCAGACAGAAGTTGGACAGGGATGGGAGATGGACTTTATATTGGGTTGGCCAAAAGGTTTGTTTGGGTTTTCCTGTAATATCTTGCAGAAAAACCACATGAACTTTTTGGCTAACCTAATATATATATATATATATATATATATAAAACTATATAAATATATTAAAATGTGTATTATAAATATAATTATATAAATTATAGCATATATATATGTCATTTAATCATGTGGATATGTTACTTAAAAATAATACCGCTATTTTTTTGAATATTCCTTTTTCTTTTATGTTTTCCAAGACGACATGGTAAGGTCAGAGACAGCGATGAAGAGAATGACCCAGATGATGAAGATGTTATTGCTAATGCAGTGGGGTGTCTCGGACCTTTCAGTGGGCTCCTGGCACCTGAACTGCAGAAGTACCAGAAGCAAGTTAAAGGTAAAGAGGAGGCCTCTGTTAGATAATCACTGTGTGTTGGTTCACTATAGGCAGGGTATTATTATTGTGGCCTATATATATAATATATTGTAGCCTATTGTTTCCTGAACTGACTACCACTGTTAAAGATCTTTATTAGAAGTATCCTCTCTGTTACTTTATCATTTAAGAGGATCTCTCTATTATGTGTCACATACATCATACCATGTTTCTTTTTCTTTATGATTAGTTTTGCTTTCCACTCATCTGATTCAACTTTGTGTGCTCACTTCCTTAGCACAGAGCCAGACATATAATAGATGCTTACTATATTCTGTTTGAGTTTAATTGGATTCATTATAGACTAACTTCTTTTCCACTATAGAAATATTCTTTAAAGCCAAAACATTATGGTATCCTCTGTTTGAATCTCAGTGACCACAAATGTGTGATCTCATAGGACATTCTGCTAAATTCCTCTGCTTAGCCCAAGGTTTCTAGATTTGAAAAGATAACTTCCACTTACCAGTTCTGATTATCAATAGTTTTTCTGTTCAGAGCAAAACAGAACAAGTCTGCTCCCTCTTCTGCTGGATGTCTCTTGGATCCTGAGACCAGTCATCATATCCCCTAGAGCTTTCTCCATGGTCCAAGTTCAGAATTTCTTAAAGATGTGTCTCCCAGAACTTTTAATATTCTATAAATTCACCTCTTAATGTCCAGCAGTTTGGTAGTATTCCTCTTAAAAATGGTACTTTAAATTGAATGCCATGCTGTGTTTTTTTTTTCCTTGCAGAGAACAGACTTCCTGTGGTCTGGACATTATCCATGCAATGAACTCTTTTGAAGCAGTTTGTTGTCCTCCCACTATGATCTTTCCTATCTTGGGTGGCAGTCCTTCCCTTAGGATATTTAATTCTGCCTCTTCTAGTTTGAAGACCATTCTCCTTGCTGGAAGAGTACAGAAACAAAAGATGTCAGGGACCTCTGCGTTCTCCCTGCCATCTGCTAGCTTTATACTGCCTTTTCAAAGTCACGAGCTATTTTCTCATTTTTTGTTCTTCGTGCTTTTTTTGTTTGTTCATTTTGTCGTTGGTGTTTGGGTCATGGTAGTTTTAACCCTCAGCATGTTTTGTATTTTAACCTGCTTTAATGTTCGGTTCATGTCATTTTGTGTGTGTGTCCTTGGTATGTACTCCCTTGTCATCTTTTGAAATGACTTAAAAAAAAAATCTGAACTCAGCCAGGGTTCTACTGATTTTGTAATGTCTTCTTCCTTCTCTTTTGTTGCCTGAATTTTAGCTTTTGGTTTCTGGCCATGGGATCAATATGTATTATAACTCTAACATTTTGAATCTAACATTATAGTGTATTATTAACTCTAACATTTTTATAGTCTGGGTCTGTGTTCCATTTTTCTACCCTGTTATTTTTTTCTGTGCAATTATGTACTCTGGTTTGACTTGATAACTTTCTCCTAAATTTCATCATTAGTCTTTGTTGTTGGTTTAACTTTAGTTTAGATTAGCAGATCTCCTTTTAATTTTCTTCTCCTTAGAGAAGTATTTTCAATAAAAATATCAGATATTCAGTCTTTATCTGAATAACACTTTCAGCAGATGTTAGGATACTTGAAATCTCCTAATAATCTTTGTTTTTAAAGCTTGTCCCCAGGCTGGTTTTACATACTGTGTTAGAAAAATCTCAGTTTATCCCCTGTTGCCTATGTGACATGGGAATGTATTCTTACACAGTACTTATTTCTGTTTCTTGGCTTCCTGGGTGGCTCAGATGGTAAAGAATCTGCCTGCAAAGTGGGAGACCCAGGTTTGATCCCTGGGTCGGGAAGATCCCCTAGAGAAGGAAATGGCAACCCACTCCAGTATTCTTGCTTGGGAAATCCCATGGACAGAGGAGCCTGGTGGGCTATAGTCCACGGAGTTGCAAAGAATCAGATATGACTGAGTGACTAACACTTTTCATTTTCATACTTGGATGTAATCTCAAATTTAAGGATACATCTAGTTGTTGGTGTCACAGGAGCAGAAACCACACCAGATATAACAAACATAACAGAGACTCAGGAAATGCTTATTAAATGAATAAAAACATTAATTTCTTGTGATACTGTGATCTGAAGTCTTGATAATCTTGTCTTGCTATTTTTAACTAAGGAAAAAACTCACATTTAATGCCTAACTAAACCCTGAAAATGGTCAATTCCTTGTAAATTGTTGTTCAGTTATATGGAAATCTGTACCCTGACTTTAGACAGCTAGAGTTGTATTTTTCTAAGGGAAGTTTAGAAAATGGCAGTGATTTTTATGTGGAAACAGCTGACCTTATATCCATATAATGATCAAAGTGGTAATAAAAACAATGAACCCACACAGCTCATTTCAGAATCCAGTTAGGCTAATGAGAAAATGCGGAAGTATTTTCAGGACCAAATGAAAACAAGTACTAGACACATTCTAGTGTACCTGGATTTTTTCCGTGGTTCAGAATTTCCTGGAGGTTAAGATACGACCCTGGGTTATATAGTGTCATCAGTTCCCACTTAGTTCTGTTCCCCTCCAGTGACACCATCTCCTTGGCTCTCTCCCCTGGAATACAGAATCAAATGGGGACCAGAGTCTGAGCTCCAATAACATTGCAGAGCTGAGCCCAGGAGCGATCAATTCCTGCCGAAGTGAATACCATGCAGCTTTTAACAGTATGATGATGGAGCGCATGACCACGGATATCAACGCACTGAAGCGGCAGTATTCTCGGATTAAAAAGAAGCAGCAGCAGCAGGTTCATCAGGTGTACATCAGGGCAGGTAATGTACTTCGTGGAGTTAATTTCAGTATTTCTAGGATGGCCTGGGAATTACTGCTTACTCTGGCTTAGCACCCACCAACGCAGCTGGCAGGAGACAACAGCGTCTTTACCTTTATTTTATCTTATCAGACTCTGAAGAAGAAAAAGGTCCGAAGGACCAGACAGCTGATGGTATTGAACACCTCTTTGCTCTCTGTGCTTTTGGAGAAGGGTTTACAAACGATGAGAATGTCACAAAGCCATGTAATCCTTGGATTTGAGACATTTTGGAGCTCTTGCTTCTTAAGCACCAGCCATTTGGAAGTGGAATTTAGTCATCTGTGTACTAGTAAATTAAGCTATTCTTTAGTCATTTAGATAGTAATATAACAGATGTTGTGATCAGAGGAAAAGGAAAAAGCCATTTCTATGCCTGGCTGATGGGTTAGCAGTGTCTTGGGAGTCTACTGAGAAGAACACAATTGTACTGTAGTTGGAGATGCTCTTTTCCAAGGATTGTTAAGATTCTTTTTTTTTCTTTAAATTCCCCAAATCCCAATGAACAGTCTGCTTTATTGTTTAATATATGCTGATTTGGGAATTGGTTTGTCTTATTCTACGTGAAATCCTAATGAAAATGATGCCAGTCCAGAGTTAACCACGGTATAAATTTGACATGTTTTTAAGAGACTGGTGAGCATGTGACTGTCTTGCACAAAAACTGAATTTACCTTTCACTTGTCGGGAGGAAGTAGGCAACTTCTTGAAGATTCTTACTTTATCCTGAATCATTATAAAAATCTATCACAGAAGAAACTAAAAACTATAACACTTTAATTTTCAAATCATTGACGCATACATGTCCTCATTTGTCCTTAAATCTACAAGGAAAGCAAGAACAGATGTTTTCATATCCTTGCGAAAAATAAGGAAATGGTGATTCAGGAAGGCTTAGCAACTGTCTAGGATTATATCGCTATAGTGAGTGGTCAGGCCAAGACCATAACCCCCATGTTTTGATTCTTTATGTAGTTCTGTTCGAACCACTTTCAAAAGCTTTGGATGGGATGTTGAACAGTTGCCTTTGGGTACTAAATCAGCCCAGAACTATGGTCTGTAGGTCAAATTCTGCTCAATGCCTGTTTTTGTAAATGCAGTTTTATTGGAACACAGGCATGCCCATTTGTCTGCATATTGTCTATGATGGCTTTTACACCTCAGTGGCAAAAATATTTATAGTCTGGTCCTGTATAGGAAGAGTTTGCTGACCCCTACCTTAGATCATGGTTTCTGTGGTTATTTTTAGAGAGATTGCTGCTCAAGGGCCAGAGTTCAAGAACATTGCTTCTCCGACTTTAGTGTGAATATGCATTGCTCGGGGATATGTTAAAATGAAGAATCTCCTTCCTGTAGCTGTGGGGTGGGGCTAAGATTATGCATATCCAATAAGCCTCTAGGTGATGCCACTGCTGCTGGGTGAGGACTGCACTTTGAGTGGAAAGGTTTTGGAGGAGATGGTGGAGGTTAGGGTTAGCAGCACAGGTTTTGGAGGAGATGGTGGAGGTTAGGGTTAGCAGCGCAGGTGGAGAGAGTGAACTTCAGCTGGAGGCAAAAGTTCCCAGCTTCTGGGATGTCCCTGGTGGCCCAGTGTTTTACACTGCCAACGCAGGGGGCACAGGTTTGATCCCTGGTCGGGGAACTAAGATCCCACATGCTGCGTGGCGCGATCAAAACAAACAAAAATGCTCAGCTTCTGAGATTTAAAGAAAGGTGGTTGAGGATGGTGGTTGAGGTACCAGCTTTCTAGGTTAGGGAGGACAGGAAGTTAGGACATTTTAGTCCTAATAGTTTCTGTTTTTATGAAGAAATTGGAGAAAAAGTTGTTTGCTTGGGAGTCAGTTGAAGGTTGTGTAGGAGCTTAAAGAAAGGAATGAAGATTTAGATTGAATACTGAAAGCAATGGGAGAGGGAAAGAAAGTTTGTCCAGTGCAACTGAGGACCTAGAAAAATAGGCAGTTATGAATTTAAGGAATATCAATCCACATAACTGTGTGAATCCCCCGTTCCCCACCCCCTACCCCCAGCAGCTTTTAGCTCCCATTTTGGAAGAGAGAACGTGAATTGTGGCTTTAGAGTGGAGTTTTGTCAGGCATGTGCGGTACAGCCATTGGGATGTCGAAACATGGTTATTGATGAGGTGTGGTCCAAGGGATCAGCCACGCACCTAACAGGGTGGTGGTGGTGGTGTAAGGGAGCCAAAGAGACGGTGAGAGATTACGAGAGGACTGGGGGATCAAGGAACCGAAGTCTCCATGGTTCATTACCAAGAACAGTTACATCCAAGGTCTGAGAGCTGGAAGAGTCGAGGGGAAGAATAGGAGAGTCCAGTGTTTTTTCATGTGAGGCAGATCCGGGTGATGTTAGGAAGGAACTGGACAAGCTGAGGATGGGTCAGTCATAGAGGCCGCGAGGTAACTCTGGGAGGTAAGAGGACATAGAGTGAAGGGGAAACAGGTGTCAAGAGTGTCACGGAAGACTGGACTATGACCAGGGGTAGATAGGTGGGAGCAGTTGAGAAGCACAGAAGGGAGGACCACCGCACCCACATGACCTGGTGATGTCAGAAGGAAGGCTGCTCACACAAAGATGCCAGGGTCTTTTTCTGCTACTTTTGCCTGCAGCTATTGTCCCTGGGGCTATGAGTGTGCAAACTTCATTGAAAACAGGGGCTTGGTCATAGCCACAGGAGGGAGATGGTACTACTGTTAATAGTGTTTTCCAGGGTCAAGTGCTTTCCTGTTTTCAGTTTGCTTTCCGAGTCTGCTCAGGACACAGGAGTGGACCTGGGACCAGGCCCTTGATGCCTGTGATGTCACTGCATTTTTACCACCTCCTTATCACTTCTCTCATGCTGCTGTCTCTCACTTAATAACATGCAGTGTGTGGTTTTCCCACCTCTCAGATGCTGACAGCTGGTAATCCATATGGTCATAGTGTTTGACTTATTATTTAAAAAAAAAAAAATTTTTTTTCCCCCTAAGATTTCCTAGATATATAGCCTGGGAGGCTGCTTCCCAGAAACAAAGCTCTCTGTAGAGAACATTAGAGAGCCTGGACTCTAACTGGTAATGAGGGGTCAGAGCCTGTTCCTTTTGTGTCCTCAGCGCCTGGTCTCCTCTGTATGAAGGGAGGGAATCTGCACCCCAGGCTCAAGGACTGAACTCAGTTTCTGCTGCCTTCCGTTCCATGACTCTGCCCTTAGCTGGGAAATGTGTGGGCAGGGGGCGGGGACAGCCTGTGTTAACTCCTCTTCCAAGATGGATGTTTTTCTCTGTGGTACCTTTCACACGACCTTTCAACCTTTCTTTCAGACAAAGGGCCGGCGACCAGCATCCTCCCGTCTCAGGTAAACAGCTCTCCAGTTATCAACCACCTTCTTTTAGGCAAGAAGATGAAAATGTCAAACAGAGCCGCCAAGAATGCTGTCATCCACATCCCTGGTCACACAGGAGGCAAAATATTACCCGTCCCCTACGAAGACCTTAGGACCAAGCTCAATTCTCCGTGGCGAACCCACATCCGTGTCCACAAAAAGAACATGGCCAGGACCAAGAGCCAGCTGGGCTGCGGGGACATGGTCGGGCTGATAGAAGAGCAGATGGAGGGCTCCAAGAGTCACACCCCGGGGGCGGCCGAGGCATCTCCCTCCGGTTGTGCCGGGACAGCTCGAGGCGAAAGCGGCTGCTCCGACGGCAGCACAGGCAGGACCATCGAAGGGCGGTCTCCGGAGCCGGTGTTTGGGGACGCAGATGCCGACGTGTCTGAGGTCCAGGTGAAGATAGAAGCCCTGGAATTGACCCCAAGGGATGCTGCTGCTGATCCTGAGCCCAGGGTGCCTCTGCCCAGCCAGCGGCACTTCCCGGAGCCACCCAGTGCCCCGGGAGGAAACAAGGTCCCCGGCAAGGCCCCCCAAGGCGGTAGCCACCCGAAGACCCCCGTCTTTAGCCCCTTTCCCAGCGTCAAGCCCCTGCGGAAGTCCGCCGCCGCCAGGAATTTGGGGTTATATGGTCCGACAGAAAGAACCCCAGTCGTGCAGTTTCCTCACATGAGCAGGAGCTTCAGCAAGTCCAGCAGTGGTGACAGCAGCACCAAGAAGCGGTGACCGTCTCTCCAAAACTGTCCGCATTCACCTCTGCACGGCGGCAGGAGGGTTCCAGCCGGATGGATGGCTCCAGATGAGCTCCGCTTGTCCGCTGAGCGTGAATCCACAGGTTCAGGGATGAGCAGCGGTCCTTAAAACATGGGAATGGGAAATTGTATAATTGGCGCTAGAATTGCGGTGTCTTCTGATTACGGATACCGTGGGTTCTTGTGGCAAAATAAATATTGTGGTTTTAAAGTGTTTGCCCAACTTTTCCTTGTGAGCTGTTTAGAAAAGACTTTGTATCTAGACTGTTAACTCTTCTTCCTTCCCTCCTGTTCTGAGGGCCTTCAGGATCCCAGTGGCAAGCCCCGAAACTTCCGGTTCTCTGGGTGTTATTAATACTCAAGCATGCACACTAGCTGGCTAGAACAGAAACTGCAAAAAAGAAAGTTAGTTTCTTAGTTGCAAAAAAAAAAAAAAACTTCCCAATTTCCCTCCTCATGCCCTATTTGAGGCAGCAGGGAAATGTTTGTTTGTGTGAGTTTTCCTTCAGTAGTGTTGGCCAGTCTCAAAACTGGTTTTTATTCTTGTGCTGAAGTTCAGGAGAAAAATCTAGACAGCCTTTCCTTCACTTTCTGTTTCTACCTGCAAAATGAAGAAAACCCTCATCTGTTGAAATGTAGGTTCATCACCAACTCGAAGATCTTATGCAGGGGTTCCAAAGGGGATATGCAGGAAGCAATTGCCCTGAACAACTTGCTGATTCCACTAAGCTTTCCCTGAGCTCCATGTTCTTCTCCTAAGGAGAGTTGAGGTCATCAGTGGTGGCATCTCTGATGGGCTCTACAGAGCTTGTCCTGCACCCTCCACCACGCAGCTCCCTTACCGACCAGCTCTCCACTGCAGATGCGGGAAGCCTCTGCTCAGAAGCCAGAACATAGTACCTGCAACTCTGTTACTTGAATTTTGTGCTTTTTTGGGGAGGTTGGAGTTCTCTGTTACTTGAACACTGCCTTTTCCTGGAGAAGGCCCCAGTACTTTCTAGCTCTCTCACCCCTTCCTCCTCAGAGATAGCACCTGTTATCTCCACTATGCAGATGGGAACCCTGAGTCACCCAGAGGTGAATAACCCTTCAGATACTCCAGGTAAATACTCTCGGTACTCAGTGTGGCTCAGCCACATTTCCTCCAGTGCAATAGGCGGGTTTCATGCTCTTTGTACACAGATGCATTGGCTCCCTAGGTTCTAGAAAGCAAGACTTGGAAGCCATCCACTGCACTCCCTCCTGACTTGAAGAACCTTTCGCCAGATGGTACAGAGTAATGTCATGGCATTTCGTAAAACCAGCTCTGACCTGCTTATCTGAAAAGGTAGTTTATTAAAAAACAAAAAAGAAACACTTCATGCATCTGTCATTTTGGCTGGACAGAAGGCTCACTCCCCAACCCCCCTTTCCCACCATCTTTAGACAGACTCAGCATTTTTATCCTCGTCCCTGGAAGACCTCGACCAGGCTGACAGGCATTTTGATGATGCAGACAGTATTCATTTGACCTAATTGGAGGATTGCTAATTCTGAAACCAAAGCTATAGTTTAAGAAAGGATTTTTTTTCCTATGGAGAGGCACTAATTTTTAGAATAAACTAGAGAGTGTGATTGTGTGGGGTTTTTTTTGAACAGAAAACATGAGAATGATATATACAATGAGAAGAGTTATTCTTTTTGTGGTATTTTTACCCCTTAAAGAATTGAAGATGGAAAATCTGAGTAATAAGTTATTGCAATTTGGATCTTGAATTCTGTGCTCTCCAAAGTTAGCATGTAGCTTCTTAAAAAGCAGCCACACCCACAGCCTGTGTCTTGGGAAAAGTGTAGGTAGAGAGTCGGGATTACTTTACATAAGAGACCATGTTGTCCAAAATTAAGCCAGTGACACAGTTTTCTTCCATCTGCTCAGCCTTTCAGATAAGAGTGATTCCACCTTGTATTCTTTTCTCTTCCCCCGTCCCGAGCGAGTCAGAATCGTCCTGTTCCCCTGGAGGGATGCCTGATTTGAGCAGAGAGTTGTTTTTCCTCTCTTGAGTCGGTTTCCAGCTCCCCGAGGGGTCTGAGATTGGGGAGGCGGGTAATGAGGTGGAGGGTACTTACAGGCTCCTGCCATTGCTGTCTGCTACCTGTCTTAGGGTTTTTAGCACACACTGTACCAGTTTCCTGCAGTTGGTCTTCCTGAGGAAAGGGTGGATGTGATGGCAGGCAGTTGGGGATAAGAATTTGTTGATGATGAGTAAACTACTGAAAGGATGGTAGTCTTCGGAGGTAAGAATGACCACATCAGGATTTCGAAACCCGACAGATTCCTGTTCAAGCACTGTCCTGTTAAAGTGCATGCATTGTACCATGTAATCACCATGTGAATTGGTCAATTTGTGAGCTTTGCCTACTTAGGAAAATAAAGAATCTGCAGTAGCCTGTAGCACACAGCATGTACGAAGCCCAGTGTGGACTGTTATCTTCCTTTGTATTGGACACTGCACGCCAGCACCAGAAGTACTTACGAAGTAGCGGTTTCTTTATTTTAGTTATGTCCTTACCCTATCAGCACTATTCTGGGAGTCGATTCGTGTCTCTGCACCTCGGTCCTCTTACAAAAGCCTCCCGCTAATCTAAACCTAGTTTGTAATGTCAACAATGGGGCTGTAACTGTTTGGAATATTGTATTCCCTCTTTTTGTCTCTCTTGTTCTGAAGAACTGCACTGATCACAAAAATAGATGCATAAAGATTTGCATTGTTGTAGCTGTTGTGGCGTTGTTTATCTGAGCGCCTGCATGGAATGCTGTGTGACTTTGCCCATCCTCTACTCTTTTCCTGTCAACGTCCCCCCAGCCTCCCCCCTGCCTTTGTTCATGTGAACTAAGGAGCAGCCCAATAAACTCCAGTGACCCCAGTTTAATCACTAGGTTGCAAGGTGGCCTGTGATCTGCCAGGAACTTGGCAGAATGGTGGGTTCCTGAATTATGAGCGAGAGAGTTTGCTCAAGAATGTGCGTACATGCGTGTGAATGTATGTGTATACAATGAATCTGTAGATCTGTCATTTTTCTTCGTTTTAATAAAGTAGAGCAGTAAGAATGCAGTTCATCTTCCTGGTCTTATGGAATCGAGATGAATAGAGAACTGTGGTCCAGCGTACAGCTGCTGCCATCTCCCCTCATAAATCTCCGTTTACTCTTTCTGAGCTACTTTTTTTTTTGCTACATACAGCCATCATCTGAGGCAGCATTTTAAATATACTATGTTTCCTTTTTAGAAAAGTGACACATGTGTTAAGAAAATTTGGAAAACAGAGCACAAGGGACCATCGGTGTTCCGGAATGGGTCTCTCTGCTGTTTATTTGTGTTTGCATGTATATACGCACCATCTACTAAAAGGTGTATTGAGAACACTAGTTGAAGCTTTGATTTCAGCAAATGCTCTTCTACAGCATCATTTCGTTGACTAGTATTTCATCATGTGTTCATGCCAGAATTCACATAACAGCATCTTGTTGTAAAAGAGATGTCTTTTTTTTTCTTATTGAAATGTAGTTGATTTACAATATTATGTTAGTTTCAGGTATATAATAATTAATTTGGTTACACATATATCTGTATATTGTTTTTTAGATTCTTTTCCATTATAGTTTAACATGAGATAGTGAATATAATTCCCTGTGCTATACAGTAAATCATTGTTGATCTGTTTTATATTTGGTAGGATGTATCTCAAACTGTTATTTTTTGGTTATAGATAATACTGGAAAGACTATCCTAACACTTATATCTTTGTGCAGTGACCTAAGAATTTTCTTAGGGCATGTTCATCCAAATGGAGTTGCAAGGTCAGAAAATATGTGAATTCCTAATATATATATAATATATATATATTTATCTCTACCTCCAAATTGCTATACTTGAAGAAACTATACAAGTACTCAATGAAAATGCATTTTTTTTGGCCCCCAGGACCTCCAGAATTGATAGAAACAGTGATAATGGGCATTCATATCTCATCCCTGACTTTTAAGAAAACCATTAAGTAGGATGTTTGAGGTTCTTAGTAGCTATCTTTTAACAGGTTAAGGAAAGTACCTTTTATTCTTTGCTCACTAAGAGTTTTTAAAAAATCAACACATAGTTAACTTTATCAAATGATCCCTAAATTGCATCCTTTGAAAAGGAAGTGATGCTTAAGACTTCGTATCTTGAACTTGAGAAAATAGCCATTACCAAGTTTCATCATAGCATATTAAGGTATTTTAGAGTTGGAAGTGATAATGATGAAAGTTCTAGGTGCAAATTTTCATTGCAGTATTAAATTTACTAGAGGAAACTTGGAAATAATGTAAACATCTGAAAATGTGGTTAACAGTTTTATGAATTATGGTTCGTTTACAAGATGGAAGTGTAAGGGCCCATGAGTGTTTGGACCATTGACATGGTGGTTCTCTTATCTTCATGAGGCAGTTCATGTGAAAATTTCAGTGAAATCTGGAATCTTAGAATCACTGGGTACAGCTATGAATGGGAGGCCCTTACTGGATGATGGCTGAAACCAGAACCATGCAATGTGGCTGTTCCACAGAGGCAGTCTGGGCTCAGTTAAATGGGGACTGCATGGAGATCCATAGACACTTGGGGTAGGTTCAGTTCCCACGAGGTTCACTGCTGGCATCTCCTGAAGCTGAGTCTACTTCTTTCCTGGTGTGCAGCTCTGATCAAACCCATTGACCTTTTGCAAAGTCACTCTCCATCCCATTTTCTTCCTTCCTTCCAGCATGGGCAAGCCTTATCTGACTGCTTCACCCTGTGTCCCAGGGGCCTCAAGAGTCTTCTTCTTAAGGTTAAAAAACTAGAAAGTTGACTGTTTTCTTAATACTCGTTTTCCTTCTATATACTCCCATAACACTTCTAGTTTTTCTTTAGGCATTGCTGATCCTTGAGAAGGAGGTGGATCAATTGCCCTGTGGGGCCACTAG